AAACATAATTCATCTTGAATAAATCTCTGTCCAGATCATATTTCAACCTAAAATTATAATAGCTCGAAATAAATATGTTTTTTAAGAACAAAAAAAAAAGTTCAGTACCAGTAGTTTCGTATTTTGATATTATAAAAGTTTGGGTTTGCTGGTATCAGAAGTAGGGATGTTCCAATCATCATTTTAGCAGCCGAGTAACAATTCCTTGTTATGAGGATCGGCCGATACTGAGAACCAATACTGATGTTTGGAGCTTTATAAGTATGATACCTAAGAGGAGATCTCTCCTTGTCTAAGAGAATACATGAAGGATGTTGCATGAAATGCCTTAAACACGTCTCTTACAACTACAGTTGAAGTCAGAATTATTATCCCCTTTGAATTTTTTCTTTTTTAAATATTTCCCAAATGATGTTTAACAGAGCAAGGAAATTTTCACAGTATGTCTGATAATGTTTTTTTCTTCTGGAGAAAGTTTTATTTGTTTTATTTTGGCTAGAATAAATATAGGGGGCCTAATAATTCTGACTTCAACTGTATATTACAGTTTTTTCCAGTGGCTTTGGTCCATTTATCAGATCAGAATTGAAATGCTCATAACGACCTGTTCAATCTTCAGATCATTGTTAATTGTCTTTACATGCAAAATGGCTGAACAAGTTGTCATGATACAATTTTCTAAATCTGTTTACATTTCTCCCAGGTGAATCTTGACTTTTTCTAATGATGGTGCATCTCAGAGGAGATTGTCCTGTGTTCACATTTTGTTTTTTCTTTGTGCTATGCACTTCTGTCTTTTCCTTTCTGTATCACAATGACATGATCGGTCAACACTTACAGTACAAACTAGGGCTGCACGTTCTCAAAACAATCTAGCATTGCGATCTTTTTTTTATTTTGCGATATGAGTACAACTTCACCAAATGATCTGTATTTGGAAAGAATTTATAATGTTAGACTGATTGGGATGATTCTGCAGTGGGAGTGCATCTTCATAAAATCTAATAAACAATTTCTAATAAAAAATCTATAAACGTTTTGGGGTCCCGACACATTTTCATTGTGGTCTGTCCTATTTGCAGTGCATTTCTGTATTCGCATGTGTTGTGAGTATTTTCATACATAACAATCTATAAACACAGTCAAGAAACAGATACAATTAAAATAAAGTGTTTTAGCATTTCCAGAGTCTAACAGTATTCAAGTACCGTAACTTAATGATCAAATAATTCAATCAAATTAATCGTAGTTAAAGTTAGAAACAGTGTTGCGGTAAGTAATGCAAGTTACGTAATAATATTACTTTTCTAAGTAGCGAGTATAGTAACGCATTACTTTTAAAACTTAACCATTATTATTTGAGTTACTTTTAAAAAATGTAACTCGAGTTACTTTTTAGAATAATTCGCTATTAAAAAATAATTTGCTGAATTATAATGAGTGTAATCACGTTGAATCCCACTCCTTGACAGAATGAGCTGACCACGGGAACAGACAGAAATCAAGATGGCAGAGCTTTACATTTCTGTGATGGAAATATTCTTATTAGTTTGAACACATGAAAGAAAAGGGGATTATAGTCTCAATGAACAGTGATTTTAATAAACTAAGAAGACAAAAACACACAAGTAGCAAACACATTGCTTTCAACTTTCAGTAATCTTTTCAAGAAAATTTCAATTCTGATCTGAGAAATCTTCCAAAGCCACTGAGAAAAACTATAACAACTGTCTGCCTGTTAAATCTACAGTATCTCAGCATTAAGCTGCGGTCACACTGCACTTTTCTCCCCATAAACTTCCATTCATACGCATGCGAATGCGTCAATACAGGAATGCAAGGTCGCGCGACAAGTGTCGTAGTTTGCTGCGTTGCAATATTCAAGTTTGGTGAACTCCGTATGGTGAAATCGTATAACGTGACTGCATGAGACCAATCAAAGATCAAAACAGGACCTCTCTGGACAGAAAATTTAAATATAAACCAATCGCTCGCTTTTTTACGTCTAATCGTCTTGCTTAATCCCGCCCTTTTTTTGCAGTGTCACACAACAAAATTTCGCAAGCTCAAACTCGTGCACAGGTGTCAAACTCTTTCGTTTCTGGAGGGCCGCAGCTCTGCACAGTTTAGCTTTAACCTTAATTAAACACACCTGATCAAACTAATTAAGTCCTTCAGGCTTGTTTGAAGCCTACAGGTAAGTGTGTTGGAGCAGGGTTGGAACTAAACTGCAGGGCTGCAGCTGTCCAGGAATTGAGTTTGTGTACTGTAGTGTGACTAGAATGTTCTAAAAGTGCAATATTTGAATTTAAGGGTCATTTACACAACACCGATTTTATCTAAAACCAAAAACCAGTTAATGTTTTTGCGCTGTTGGTGACCACTTCTTTTTGGGGACGTCACACACAGTTTAAGGATTGAAATTTTGAAGACATTCAATCTACAAACCTGCTTGAATAAAAAAAAAAAGTGCAATTCTTTACAAAAGTGGCATCGCCAACTATTAAACTAGCATAATAGAGCATTTGTAGTTGTTTTGCTGGATTTGTGTTTGAAATTGAGAAAAACTTTCCATTTCTAGTAGACCATTGTCATGTAAAATCTGCAATATGACCTGGACACTATCTGAGATTCACCCCTTGCTTTACACACATCTGTACAACTGTTCTCCAGCCCATAATAAAGATGAATAATGTTTTTTTTTTTTTTTTTTTTTTTTTTTTTTTTTTTTACAAAAACCCCCAAACAATTGTGAAAACCTGTATGTGTGAGATGAGGACTGCTGCTGTTGAATTGCTGAACTTCACACTCGCTTTAGACGCTGATAATGTGAGTCTTTCATTCATGGCCACTGAAGCTGCTCAGCCGGAAACACACTCACACACCCACCCACACACACACAACAAAGATTGTGTCCAGCTCCTGTCCAGCTGTCTTTAAAGCTGTGTGTTTAAACTCCGGCTGGGAAAACAAAAAGTAACTTTCCAAAGCAAACATCCTTAATCCTCAATGTACTCCATATATATCGAAAGACATCTTCCAGTGTTAAGATTGTTCAAACAGTCTTAAAAAAAAACAACGCTGGCGCAAATAGCTGTTTTTTTCCTCTTTGTTTTTTTTTTGTTGTTTTTTTGGTAAATTCTGCAAATGCATCCATCTTCAAGTTCAATCTCCAATACAGAATGCTACATAGATTCTTGTGGTAATTTTGTAGAAAGCCATGAGAAACCATTCCCATTGGGAACATCCTTCACAAATACGCACATACACACTCACAAACACACACACACACACGCGAACACACATACCTTCATCTTCAAACATACTCACAAACACATTCATCTCCACACTCATACACAAGGGCTTGTTTTTGTTGATTAGTGAGGACATTACATAGACTTCTATTGTTTTTATATCAGTGTAATGATAGACCCAATCCCAATTCTATTTTACACCTTCCCTTCGGCCCTTAAAATAGAGTGTGAAGGGGTAGGGATAAAATTATGAAATGGGATGCCAATACTAAAACTGTGTCATCATATGTTGCCAATAGCTCCAGCATTAATATAGCGGTTGCCTAGTGAGATAAAAAGCGCAGTACACTGCTCTTTACTAATATAAAAAAGGCAGTGATCTTGCATTTTCAGAACTGAAACATGCATTTGGCCTGGCTAATTGCCCATTATTTTGTGATGTAAATGACTCGACAGCGCCATCTTTGCACGTTTTACAGAATGACCCCCAAGCTACGTTTCACGCACGTATTAAAATTGGCACACAGGAAGTCGGATATTTTATCTCTAGGCATTGTATTTTAACAAACTCCTCCTAGGGATTTTAAAAGATCAACACCAAAATTGGGTATTGTCATCTGAAGGCCTTGGTCGATGTTAAAATGAGAAGATCTAGAGTTTTTGTCATTGTTAAAATAGTGTGAAGGGGTAGAGATAAAATTACGAAATGAGACACTATTACTACAACTGAATGTCATCATATGTTGTCACTAGCTCCAGCATTAATATAGTGGTTGCCTAGTGAGATAAAAAGCGCAGAACACTGCTCTACACTAATGTCAAAATAGCAGTGCATCTTGAATTTTCAGAACATTAACATTATAACAGATCTGCTGTAAAAAGCAGACTTTTCAGATCATGACAATAAAGCCTTATTCACACTACGAGTGACATAGCGGCAAAGCGATAAGCGACCGTTCCTTTCAACATAGAGTGACTTCCAGCGACCTCCGTCTACGCAAGCAACAGCGACTGTTCGTGACTAGGTGGCCGTGTTGAGCGATGTGACAAAGTTTAGAATCCTTTAACTTTATGCAAATGAAGAGCGACATTCTTGAGAGACGGCCAATAGGAGCACAAGTAGAGCTCACGTTTCCTCTCTCTGCTCACTCTGAGGCTGGTGGTATTCTCCGTGCTGTAGAGACCTGCATTTGCAGCAGGTCGCCACCCAGAGCGACACCCAGCTACAAAGTCACTGCTAGTGTGAATGAGGCACAAGACATTAAAGGTATTACAAATATAATAAATCAGGTGCTTGTTTGTACTAAAAATCCTTATTAATGCCATTTTTGTTACATTTGTGGGTCTCATTCCTTGCTTTCGCAGCCATGTTGGTGATTTATTCAGGTAAATCTCTTCATTTGTAGTGTGGTCCCCAAAAAACCATACCCCTTACCCCTATACCTCAGAGCAAAAGAGATTTGGGATATCCCTACCCCTTCACATGAATGCACAGACTGAGGGCTAAGGTTAAGGTAGAATTGGGATTGGGACTAACCCTAACCCTAAACCTCACAGAAACAAGTGGCAATATAATGGATACTAATAAAACATGCTCTGGACAAATTTAATTAGTGATGACCAGAAAAATCCTCACTAGTCACTTGTTTTCATATTTCACTAAATAAGTGTGGACAATTGAGCCCTCATTAGTATAACTAAACCAGTACACAACACTTTCATCTCCACACACACACACACAGACACGCAGTCTCATTGGCAAGTTTACATCCACACAAACTCACAACACATTTATCTCCACACACTACACTCATTCACACACACACCCACACTAAAGCTTTAGGTGTACTCCTTGTGGCCGCTCCATGTGTCTGCCAGGCCCAGGTACTCTGGGTTTTCTGCGGTGGGCGTCATGAATCCGTTGGGCTGCCTGTGATTTGTTCCTCCATTTATGGCCACTCTGGCCACTACCTGAGCTTTTGCTGCAATATCGTGGTAGTAGGGGTTGTCGAATGCTGGCGAGGTGGGTGTGATGCTGCCTATTGGCACCAGATATTCTGGGTTCTCCACACTGTTCCCTGTGCTGAGGCCATTGAGGATGAATCTCCTCTCGCTGGCCTTGCGTGGAAGTGTGCTGGGCCGCTCTGATGCTATGTCCTGGTTCACATACTCTGAGAACAAAGAACATGGTCAAGGCATTAAAAGTGTAAATAAAAGACAAAAAAAGCTTTTGTAATGAAACATATTTTACAAAGAGAAGCAGATTTTTAACATTCATTCATTCGTTCATTTTTAACCACTTTTCTGGGGCCGGGTCGCGGGGGCAGCAGTCTTAGGAGAGAACTCCAGACTTTCCTCTCCCCAGACACTTCCCCCAGCTCCTCCAGGGGATCCCGAGGCATTCCCAAGCCAGCCGAGAGACAAAGTCCCTTCAGCGTGTTCTTAGTCTTCCCCGAGGCCTCGTCCTGGTTGGACCTGCCTGGAACACCTCCCTAGGTAGGCGTCCAGGAAGCATCCAAAACAGATGCCCGAGACACCTCAGCTGACTTCTCTCAATGTGGAGGAGCAGCGGCTCTACACCGAGCTCCTCCCGGGTGAAAGAGCTCCTCACCTTAGCTATAAAGGTGCACCCTACCACCCTGCGAAGGAAACTCATTTCGGCCCCTTGTATCCGAGATCTTGTCCTTTCGGTCATAACCATAGGTGAGAGTAGGAACGTAGATGGACCGGTAAATTGAGAGCTTTGCCTTTCGGCTCAGCTCCTTCTTTACCACAACGGATCGATACAATGACCACATTACTGCTGCCGCTGCACCAATCCGCCTGTCAATCTCATGTTCCATCCTTCCCTCACTTGTAAACAAAACCCCAAGATACTTGAACTCATCTACCTGGGGTAAGGACTTTCATCCAACCTGAAGATGGCAAACCACCATTTTCCGGTGAAGCACCATGGCCTCGGAATTGAAAGTGCTGAATCTTAGATTTTCAAAATTTAAATCATTGTTTGTTATAATATATACCAATATATAGTTGATACCAATAAAGTGGTACAAAAAAAAACTTTTGCTTAGCACTTTTATTTCCTGAAGATTAATTATTATTTGTGAAAAAAGTCTAAAGCATTTAAACTTTTTGCCTAAACTTGCTTTTACTAAGGACTTAGCACCTACTATCCGTAGGCCCTATTGGAATTGCTCTGTTTTTCTCTTCTTCTTCTCTAGAATGAATTGTATTTTGGGGGGTCTAAACATGCTCAAAAACTCACAAAACTTTGCAAATGCACCAGAATTGGCGAATTTGTTATAGGGTTTGGAAGTGGGTTTGACAAAATGACTCAACAGCACCCTCTATGCATGTTTGACAGAGTGGCCGCTGAGCTACGTTTCACACACACATACGAAAATTGGCATACAGAAGGTCAGGTATTTTAATCCATTTCCAGGCGTTGTATTTTAACCAACTTCTCCTAGGGATTTGATCCGATTAACACCAAAATTGCGTATTGCCATCTAAAGGCCACGGCGTTATTAAATTGTGATGATCTACAGTTTTCATCGAAGGGCATCTCACAAACTTTGATGTTTCGCCATGAAACAGGAAGTTGTTATAACTCAGAATTGCATTGTCTGATCTGCATCAAAATCCACATGTTTGACAACAGTCCTAATCTGAACACGTTTACATGCCAATATTTAGTAATAGCGCCACCTGCTGACATGTTTTACACTGTAACAAACTCCTCCTACAAACGTTATTAGATTGAATAAGTTTTCCGTTAGTCTAATCCAAAGGCCTTTGTGATGTTAAATTGAAAAGATCTAGAGTTTTTGTCTAAGGCTGTGTCCATGGCGAACTGACGAAGTTCGGCGTTTCGCCATAGATAGTGCCACCTGATGACAGGTGGAAGTTTGGCATAAATCGGTGATTTTCTCAGGTTGAATTATATGAATGTTAAATTATTATTATTATTATTTAATTATTGTTAAAATATTATTATAGTGGTGAGCGCGGTTGCGAGGTCCCTTTCACTGCTGCTTGCGGCTGGAATTTATGAATATAATACATTTTAAAAGAAAACATTTTTAAAAATGTATTTCCTTTTTTAACTAATCTGACCTTTTAATAATATTGAGAATTCTTTACTCACATTCTGTTGGCTAAATAGTTTATTACAGGTTATGTTATTTCAGAAAAGAACTTGCAATGTCTTTCCCAGAGATGGGTTGCGGCTGGAAGGGCATCCGCTGCGTTAAAAACTTGCTGGATAAGTTGGCGGCTCGTTCCGCTGTGGCGACCCCGGATTAATAAAGGGACTAAGCCGACAAGAAAATGAATGAATGAATAAACTTGCGATGTCTTGATTTACCAATAAGTTACAATTAATTATATAATAATCTAAAATAAATGAATAATCTAAATAAATCTAATATAAATAAACATCTGCTGCTTCTGTGAAAATGAATAGAGTCATAAACCTTGTCATCAGCCATAAACCTAGTCATTTGCATCAGTTTTATTAGTACAAAAAATTTTTTTTGTGTCAGTATATTAATGGCACACTTGAGCAGCATTCGTAAACTGTAAATATAAAGCAATGCCAAATCACATGCAAGTTTTGTTATACTATTTTACACAATCTGTGAATTAATACATTTGTATTATTTCTATGTTTGCTAAGGAAGAGAGGCGTACATTCATTTCTCTGAATCGCACTTATGCACTTTTGCGAAATGATTTTAGCACAAATCTGTTTCTGCAAAACATTTCATAATCGAGGGCTGACTTCATAGTGAATTTACATATTTTTCTTTACAATATTTAATCTAAAATGTATCTGCTTATGAAATAACTCTCTTTTGAATCACTTCATCAATCACTTCTGCAAAATACCAATTAAATATGTCACATTCTGAGAAGTGAAATGAGTTGCTTTTACTGCTGATGATACATTGCTCTTACCAGGTTGCGTGTGTGTTCCTCGTGGCAGTGTGTGAGACAGGAAAACCATGTTGCCATCAGTCTCCAGATCTCCATCAATGCCGTTGGGCATGGTGGGGTCTTTAGAATAGCGACAAGGGCTGGATGGGGGGCAGCTGTCCTCCACGTAACCGTCCAGAAACACAGAGTCTGATTGGCCTCCAGCTGAGCGGTGTGATATGCTCCGGGCTAGAGGCGGGTACTGTGTCCCAGGCCACATGCCATTGGCTGTTGCGCCCACAGGAAGAGTTGGGTATTGACTCTGTTCTATCATGCTGACAGAAGAATACAACTCTCTCCCATTGGGCAAACCATCCACCTCTACCATTTGATCTGTACTCTAAAGAACAAAGAAAAAAATCAACAAAAAGTATTAAGGCTTGTGCATTTTTGAACAGGGTATATACAAGAAACAGAGAGTGAAATTCAATATCTTTAAAGACCTTTTTTAAGACTCTTTCCATACATTTTAAGATCTTCTTGCCACTTTAGGTTTCAACCGGTAACATTGTTTGGCACTTTACTGTATATTTACCACAGACAGATTGTAAGAAAGCACAACAAAAGAGGTGGTGCGGCACGGTGGCTCAATGGTTAGCACTGTCGCCTCACAGCTCGCTGGGTCAGCTGGCATTTCTGGGTGGAGTTAGCGTGTTCACTCTGTTAGATTTTGCTGTATTTGGCTTATCCGTTCTTGGGTGGCTCGCCAATGTATTAGATTACTCTAATACATAAAATAAGTAAGCTGACCCATGTTCTTACGGGTAGAAGACTTTATTGAAGACAATCAATAGTGCAGTTCCTCAGCAGTGATGTTAACCCGTCGGTCTTCAAGTAACTTAACCCAAAGTACTGTCTGTGAGACAGTACTTTATACTAGCATCAAACAAACCATTCTGTTTACGAGGCTCAGCAGGACCCTCTTCAGATGTTTCAGCTGTTGTTTTGCTAATACCCACTGAGATTGTAAAAGGGTCATTTAGTTCACACCTATCAGTTTGTGGGGGTTGAGGCACAGGTCAACCCATCATATCACATCAGAGTTTATTCCATGTAAATGCAACTGAACTAAAATGCACATAATCTTTCAACTCCATGTTTCCACTGAGTGCACCGATTTCCCCCACAGTCCAAAGACATGCGCTATAGGTGAATTGAATAAACTAAATTGGCTGTAGTGTATGAGTGTGTGTGTGAATGAGTGTTTATGGGTCTTTTCCAGTACTGGGTTGTGGCTGGAAGGGCATCTGCTGCATAAAGCATATACTGGAATAATTGGTGGTTCATTCCGCTGAGGCAACCTCTGAAATAGAGTTTAAGCGGAAGGAAAATGAATGAATGAACAACTAAAGAGTCTCCTTTACAAAGCAATACAATTCAGAAGGGTGGAAATGAAGCGCAAGACAATCATTTCAGAAGAAAACAAAACAATAATTAGAAAAAAGTTTATGTGGGGCTTTAGCAAACTCATTGCTCTAGACTAAATAAAGCTTTAGACTCCCATTTAATGCAACTCAACACATTCATCTATAGGAGGGGTCACCAATCTCATCTCTGGAGGTCCAGTGCCCTGCAGGGTTTAGCTCCAACTTGCCTCAACACACCTGCCGGGGTGTTTTAAGTATGCCTAGTAAGACCTTGATTAGCTTGTTCAGGTGTGTTTGATTAGGGTTGGAGCTAAAATCTGCAGGATACCGGACCTCCAGCAACAAGTTTGATGATCCCTGATTTATAGCAACACTGATCTTGATTTTCTGATTTCATATTAAGAAAACTGAAAAAATGGGTATGATATTTTTTGGGCTATATCACATGCTGATTAAAAATAATGAAAAATTATGATGTAAAAACATGCCTTCACCTAAACTGAAACATTATTATATAATGTATAAATGTAATATGATGGATATAAAATGCTAATTGACTCTCTTCCAGCAGGTGGCGCCTATAGACAAAGTCCCTTTAAGACAAGTCATTTCACTCAGTGGCCGTCTTTGAAAATCCTCTCGGGCAGTATGCTCAGGGAAACATCAAATTCTTCAAAACTGTTTGCCAAGCTTACGATTACATTACAAATTTGGAATCACCAATAAACCTAAACAACAACCGTCTCATAGGTTTTGTTTGTAATCGTCTGAATTAAACAAAATCTGCATATTTTCAGGTTGCCCGAGCTAATGCGCATGCGCACTCGAAAGGAACAAGATCACAACACCAACCTCATTTATGGCCGTTCTACACATTATCATCCTCTGAATAATGATTGTCTGATCGTGCTGCTTTTCTGAAGTAATTCACAAATTAGTCTTGATGGCGAATCTCCTCCAGAAATGAAAGCGACTCTTTGTTTACAAGTTTGTGAGGCGTTTGAGTAGTTGCTGTCAAGTGATGTGTGTTTGACAGGACGGACTGTACCTCGCGTTTGTTTCACACAGATTATAGAACCAAAAACCTTTTGTTGTCTAGTGTAGTTAGTTCATTTAAAAGTACAGATTTAGGCTTTATGTGGACATTTGTCTGTGAAGCAAGTATTTGCTGAGATTCAAGCAGGTTTGTTGACCACAAAACTGTCATAAAAGCACACATCTTGTCTGAGCTTCTACCACCATATAGTGATCGATGATTGGCTTCTGTACTAAGAGGCGGGCTTAATTTGCCAAATTGACCATTACACCTTTTTCCCATTAAAAACTATATGAGTGACATGTCTTATGTATTCTACAAGCTGCGTCTGAAATTGCACTTTCATGCTATACAGTATGCTAAAATCAGTATGCAAACCAAGTTGTATATCCGATTCCGGTGAGAATCTGAAGTGTGTATCCCATGCATGCTGCGCTATCCCATGATGCCCCGCAAGAGAATTCATGAATGGGAGTGAAGTGACGCAACTGATGCAAGTAGGTCACATGACCATGACAAAATACTTCTCACATTCATACTGTATAGAACGTATGTTTCTAATGGCCGAGTAGTACTTTTAAACAAAATCTCTTTAAAGCAAGTCATTTCACTCAGCGGCCATCTTTAAAACGCCTCTCGGGCAGTATGCCCGGGCATTCTGTTTGAATGGTGAAACATCAAATTCTCCATAACTGCATGCCAAGCTTACAATTAAATTTCATATTACAAATAACCAATAAAATTAAACAACTGTTTATTTAGTTTCGTTTCTAAATGTTCGCATCACACAAAATCTGCAGAAACCCACATCTGGTCTGAGCCCCTCCCCCAGAGAATTGTCATTCTATAGCGATCGCTGATTGGTTCTTGTACTAGAACAGGGGTGTCAAACTTAATCCCTGGAGGGCCGCAGCCCTGCACAGTTTAGTTCCAACCCTGCTCCAACACACTTACCTGTACGTTTCAAACAAGCCTGAAGGACTCAATCAGTTTGATCAGGTGTGTTTAATTAGGGTTGGAACTAAACTGTGCAGAGCCCTTTTGGAACGGAGTTTGACACCTGTGTACTAGAAGGTGGGCTTTATTCGCCATATAGCGATCACTGATTGGCTCCTGTACTATAAGGCGGGGCTTCATTTGCCATATTGACTGTTACACTTTTCCCCATTCAAAAGTATACAAGTGACATGTCTTGGCTGCATTCGAAATCGCATACTTCCATACTATATAGTACGCTAAAATTAGTATGAGAGCCGAGTAGTATGTCCGAACTCAAAGAATTTGAAAATCAGTGCGCGAGAAGTACCTGGATGACTTACTACTTACAGCGAGATTCTGGAGTGCGCAACTGACGCAGGTAGGTCACGTGACTATGACAAAATGACGGATGTAGTACGTCTGAATTCCCTTCATACTTCTCACATTTATACTGTGTACAACATACTTTTCAAACAGCCGAGTAGTACGTTTAAATTCAAATGCAGTACTAACTGAGTAGTAGGCGGTTTCGGATGCAGCCATAGTCTTTGCTATAGACCAGCAGGAATAACGGTGTTGCCTTGGTCACTGCAATAAACAAAACAGTGATGTCAAATCCAGCAGCAGGATTTTAGGGTGAGGCTGGGGGAGGTCATAACGACTTTGAATAGGGGGGAAGGGGGGTATGTATGCGCGACGACGTATTTTACGAGCGGGTGGAGACGCGCGATTTTCGTGGGATTATCATTAGTTTGCAGGCATCCAGGAGTCTTTATGCATATGCGGGAGAAAACAACAATATAAGCTTCTCGCGGCAACAGGTTAGAGTAATTTTTGGGTAAACTATCCCTTTAATAGGCCTTCACTGCAAACTGAACACTCTCCAAACCTTCTCAGAAAAAATCTTGAATCTATAAGAGGGGATAAATGATTTAAGCTGAACTGTTCCATTACCCAGTGGATTGAGTAAAAGAATGATTGGTTCTCTGACCCGGTGTGAGTGGTGTCTGCTCGGCCCGTTGGCTCTCATTTCTCCATGTGTGTTGAAGATGCTGCCAGGTTGTGGTACCAGGTATTCCTCTGCATCCAGAAACTCCTTCACATTCCCGCCCTCCTCTGCCATCAAGATGCGGAAGAACTCGCTATCAACAGGACTCGAAAGACTCATCTGATCTTCGTTCTGTGGAAAGGAGAGAAATGCTATCATCTACTGTATGTATGTCTGTATCATAAATATCACCGCTCAAATAATGTGATTATGTTATTTAGGGACTGCATTCATTTACAACTGAATGGTTAAATAAAGCGCATCACTACTCTTGCTTTGCACAAGAACATTAAGGTCTTTGCAAAGTGATGTTTTGCTTTTTTTTCGAAATTGTTTTGTTTGTTTGTTTTCGCATTATATCGATTATTCCTAAATGGACTCAATGTTTCTGTGCATGACAACAATTTTCAGATACAAATATAAAAACATGCAAAAGAATATTTCAGTGTGCAGAGACCTAAAAACCTTGAAATTGTCTAAGTGAAGTTAATTTCTAAACTAATTTGGAGAGGATCACACGCTTATGATTGCTTGCAGCCGGTCCCGCATTATTCAATTGATGATTTACCAATCAGACGATTCCAAAGCCACTATACATACCCTAAGTTCCATATGACAGCCATTTTCATTTTGAAGAATCCCCCCTTCCACCCCTACTCCTCTTCCTTTCCTAGATGGGTGGCCCAATGGTTAGCACTGTTGCTTCACTGCAAGAACGTCACTGGTTCGATAATCCTTACCAAGCCAGCCGACGTTTCTGTGCGGAGTTTACACGTTGTCCCCGGTTTCCTCCCACCGCCCAAAAACATGCAACTTAAGTCAATTGACTAATGCAAATAGGCATCATAGACATGCTCCTAGTAATTAGTTATCTCTTAAGAGCAATCACTATCTGTTCATTAGCTACTATAGCAGGGGAGTTTCGAGATCTACCTGAGCTCAGATTCCCCCCTCGCAATGCAAAGAAGAGGGAGCCTCGGGCTCGAGGATCTTATGAGCTCAGAGCTGTCTCTTGGGACAGGATGCCAAACAAGCTTTATAATCAATCATCAGCTAAGTGTGAATTCTTGAAACATACTTAAATTCAATTCTATGTATGTATGCAATACTACGGAGACCCGGAAGGAACGGGACGGTGGGGGAAAAAATGAGTAGGAGAGAAAATAAAAACAGAGTGATAGGAAAATATATATTTTTACGTTTTTGCGATCCCTCACAAAGATGTTTTTTCACAAACACTTCCTGTATGCTTCAAACAGGCCAACCCTCCTCTTTTTGCCGGGATTCTCCTGTATTTTACCATTCTATACTGCTATCATCCTATCATTAAGTATTTTCCCATCAGCTTCTGTACACGCCATTTAAACACCTGTTATCAAACAAATGAAGAGCAGCAAACGAATCTCTAGTTTCATTTTGTTTGATAACAGAGAGGTGTCACAGTAAGAATGCACAGATCTATAATAAAAGCATTCAATTACTTTAGTAACTGTGCTCATTTAAGAGAAACAGACATGTTTACATATTATTAAGAGTATTGGTTACACTTTATATTAAGTGTCCTAACTACTATGTACTTACATCAACATATAAATACAATGTACTTACTGTGTTTATAAGGTATTTAAGAACACTTGTGGTGCTTTTGAGTTGGGATAGAGGTTGGGTTATGGACAGGTTTGGTGGCATGGGTAGGTTTAAGGGTGGGTTAAGGTGTAAGGGATGTATTTACAAATGTAATTACAAAAGTTAACTACAGATGTAATTACATACATGTATTTAATCAGGCTTAAGTACACAGTAAATACATGTATTTACACAATAAGTACATTGTAACAAACTATTAATTCCTATGTAAGTACATATTAGTTAAGGCCACTTAATATAAAGTGGGACCAGAGGATTCGTCTGTGTAAACGCACACCCGAATCCCAAAGTGTCCTGATCTGGGATCAGGTTATCATACAGAGTGCAACCGTCAGTCAGCACATACACACTTCTGTTATCAAACAAAACAAAACTAGAGATTAATTTGCTACTCTTCATTTGTTTGATAACAGGCAACACTTTAAATGGCGTGTACAGAAGCTGATCTGGGATCAGTTTATCATACGGAGAACATCCATCTGTTAGCATTTACATGCATTCGCTGATTTAGAGGTTGCACATGAAGGGCGATGATCGACGCTCAGCTTGAATGGAAAGAAAGTGAATGTAGACATTTTTATATTAATTTCAGCGAGCTTTCAAGATAAAAAAATATATGAGAAATATGGGAAAATACTTAATGATGGAATGACAGCAGAATGGAATGATAAAATACGGGAGAATCCCAGCAAAAACAGGAGGGTTGACATGTATGACATAAACAAGTGTTTGTAGAAAAACGGTTTTGAGAGGGTACTTAAAACATCTTTGCATTCCCTCGCAAAACATCTTTTATCTATAATATTGACCCTAAAATGTTTTATACAATTTGCACAACTTTTCTATTGCAGTCAAGCTAAAAAAAACTTATTTCTGCAGAAGAGAAATAAAACTTATAATCATGAATGCTGTGTCCTTTCTCTGTAAAACAACCATTACTTGGGAAATATTTGAAAAAGAATGAAAAAACTACATTGGTAACACTTTATTTTGAAGGCCCGTTTGAGTATTAGAAGACTGTCTGCTTCATGTGGTTCATACAGACATTCAACGGATGTTTAACTGACTATAAGAAACTTTGCAAGTACATGTCAACTTACACTAACCATAACCCTAACCCCAACCTAACAGTCTACTTACAATCTAGTGAGAATTAGTTGGCAGGTAGATGCAATGTAACTTATACACCATCAAAATAAAGTGACCAAAAAATGAACATGAAGGTTTATAATTTATACTGTTATAATGTTTAATTTATTCATCATTTATTTTTTAAGGATATACAATATACAATTTATCAGAACAATAATCAATAGTAAATCTGTTGTCATACACAGATTATATGCAATAGCTTGCTTATTATTCTAGTTCTTGGTTACAGCCCTTCTTTAATATATTTAATATTTGTTTTAAAAGTATTTTCAAAGTAAAGTAATTAGTAATCTGATTACTTTTTACGTGAGGTAATTACTAATTTAATCCGATTATAATTTTTCTAGTAGTAGTCGGTAGTTTGTAATCTATTACTTTTCTTAAAGTAACTGACCCAACACTGGTCATGTTTTATTATGGCAGCACACATTCAGCCTATTTGAACAAAGTTGCGTTCATTGAATCGTTGAATCGTCCAATTTTTCAGAACAATAATCAATAGTTAATCTGTTGTCCTACACACACATTATATATAATTGCTTGTTTATCGATCTAGTTTTAGTTACAGCCCTATGTTATTCTCTATGTTATGCTTTTAAAGGTGAAAAATGAGGAATGCACGTACCTGGATGACAACATAACGTGAGGGATCCCGTGCCATGGTGGTGAATTCCTCCACCAGGTCCTTAAATCTCGGTCGATTGTCAGGATCGATCTGCCAACCTGACATACAGAAATATGGTCAAAAAAACCAACTCAAAGTTCTTCTGAATTACAACCGAGGTCAGAAAAAATGAAAATGTATTGTTTATTTGCCTAGTGAACATTGTTATTCTTTAGCTCAACAATTAATCTGTGCATGTTAATCCACTGAAAAAAGTTTGATGTCAATTTGACAGCTTCAGCAACAATTTTCTTAACCACAGCACTCTTACCGTTAGTTTGCCAAAAGGGAATGAAACGCAAAAAGAAAGCCCCACTCCCTCTATATTCAGTTTCAGTTGGAAGTACATCGACGTACTGAAATAAAAGTCTCAGCAACTCCTGTTCCATGCAGATTTTATCTAGTTTACTTTTGTAAACACAAAAAGGTCACAACACAGAAGCTACTATGCTGAGATGGTAAAACCTAAACCTTTGCTGTCCTAAAAATGCAACAAATCCACAGTATTTAGACCTTTTGGGAAAATTATAAAATGAAAGTCGATTTGCAATTAAGAAGTAAAAATAAATTTAATACGTTGTTAATCACATACAGACCGCCTCCAAAACCTCAATGCTGAAATCTAGAATACAATATTGCCACTCTAAACCAATTTACTGACTTTCACTACTTTTGTAAAGTCTATTTATATAGTGCATTTATCGTGTATGGCCATACACCCAAAGTGCTTTACAATCAATGAGGAGGGACTCTCCACACCAAGACCATTGTGCAGCATCCACCTGGAAGGTGCGAAGTCAGCCACACCAATGGAGGCATAGAATTTGGCCAGTACACGGGGGTTACACCCCTACTCTTTATGAGAACTGCCATGTGATTTTTAATGATCGCAGAGAGTCAGAACCTCGGTTAACATTTCATTCGAAAGACACTAAACTAAAGAGCTCAATTTCCATGACTTGTAATGAATAGAAAAACAAGCAGCTGTTGTTTCCCTTCATAATTCAGCGATTATTTACTGCAAAATTTAACATATTATTAAGCAAATGGCGCAAAATGTGGAGGAACTTGCTCTTTTTGGATTCCCACAGATATCCTAGCAAGGATATGGTTCAAATTACGTTTACGTAATCTCTAACGTTGTTTTTTATGACAATATTATTTTTGCATAAAGAAAGTGATGTGACTGCATAGCAGTGTGTGACTCAATTTAGATGCATCATGTGCAGAGTTGGATGTAACCTGTTCCACAGTAATGCGTTACTGTATACTACAGTATTACATTTTTGGGGAACACAGTAATGTATTGAATTAATTCAAATTAGTGTAATTTCATTACAGTTACTAAAATCAATATCACTGCGTTATTTAAAGTACAAATATAGTTTTTAGAAGAAAAAATGCTTATTTTAAATCACGTTTTCCACTGCAGTATTACTTAATAAGAGAGTGATTAAAAAATTTGTGAGGAAAATGAGCTAAAATGTTTGTTGACGAGAGTGTTTGCTATTTCAAATGTAAATGCAGACATTTGATTTCATTGAGGGTAAAAACAAAAATACTGCTGTGAAATGCAGTCTATGTCTAGTCTCTAAAGAACTTTCAACTGCTTTCAAAGCAACTTCAAGCACTTGAATTCTACGACAATACTTGTCACCAAGGAGAACACCAGTGCCCAAAAACACAACGGACTAACTCAGCCTAAACAGGCTAAATCGGATTTTTGTGTGGGAGTGAAGGTATCTTTTAAATGCTGCCGTTTATTTTGTATTTTTTAGAGGTATATTTTATATGTTTCAAGAGTAACTTTGAAGTAATTAGTAATCTGATTACTTTTTACATGAAGTAATTAGTAATGTAATCAGATTACTATTTTCCAGTAGTAGTCAGTAATTTGTAATCTATTGCTTTTTAAAAGTAACTTACCCAACACTTGTCATGTGACATTATCACAGCACACATTCAGCCTATTTGAACAAGGCTGCGTTCATTGAGTCATTCAAAACATTTGTACATCTTCACATGATTTTTCTAATGCTGTTGTTGAAGAGAATTGAACATTTTTAATCATTTGGACTATTTAGAGTCCTTCATGCATTAAATATTTTGTAATAGGCTTTATATAATTAGTTTCTTGCAGTGTTCCTGTTATATAAATTACACAGATCAATAATTCTTGAGATCAAAAAAGTAAAAGAATTGGGATGTGTAAATCTGAGCATATTTTCACAACAAAACAAAACAAGAAATGCCCTTAAATATTGTAAATTTTTGGAAAATGCGTTGCTAAAATAGTAATTTTAGACCAAAATAATTAGAAATTGTTCTATATTCCTGACCTTTAGAAAAACTCTGTTGCTTTTATATAAATTACAGTGAACAATAGTTTTTGAGATTAAAAAAGTTAAAGTAAAAGCATTTGAATCAAACAAGCAAACACACTTCAATCATGATGGTTATGGTCATTACAAGTGAGCACTAACATTTGACCATGATCATGTAGACTTCTTTGGTGCAGTTGCACGGCTGTGAGAGTCGCTCCCCGGCCTCCAGCAGCTCTGGAATGTCCCGCGCTTGAAAACTCTCATACGGCTTCATGCCAAAGGTCATCAGCTCCCACACGGTCACCCCTGAGATGGAGAGAGCTTATTTTAGAGCAGACGGTTGTTAAATACAGCAGAGTAACTGTAAACCCTGGCTGATACTGACCGTAGCTCCACACGTCACTTTGGTGAGTAAACTTCCGGTGTAATATAGACTCCAGCGCCATCCATTTGATCGGCACCTACTCCACACAAACACATGAACATTCTTAATATAACTTTGGAAAAAGCCTTATTATTTGCAGTTTTGTGACCTAATCTAAAGTGAGGACTATTTATGCTTCATAAATCCTTTATAAATGACAAATAAAGGCTCAGTTAAATTCTAGACAGGAAAAATGACATTATTCATTCCTATTCAATTAAAGATACACAAATGAAACTGTACTTCAAATAAAAAATAAATCTTTGCAACCTGATCTAAAATAAAATCACTGTAGAGTTTAAACATTGCATTTTATTACATTGTTTAATTATTATATTGTTGTTTTATCCAGTTTTGTTGTGTTTTGACACTCCTGTTATTCAGCAATTTTAAAACTTTACAGTCATTTTACATTTTAGAAAAGATTGCTAAGATTATTGTTCATTTAATTCAGAGCCTTTATTTGTCATTTATAAGGGATTTATAAAGCATGAATAGTCCTCACCTTAGATTAGGTCACAAAACTGCATGAACTTGAGTTAATAAAGCATTTATTAACATATTAGTTGACAATTAGTATATGCCTGAATAATAAGATATATAAACGTTGATTTAAATAGTTTTTTAATCATTTACAAACTCATTCTGAATGATCCTAAAAACCCTCAACTACTCTTAAATACAACTGGTTTGTAAATAATGCAATACTTAATTTAGTAATGAAAAATAAATCATTAACTAAGTATGAAAGTACACTCATTAAGCACATTATATAGCTGCTTATAAGACAATAATAGAGAATTTGTAGCTGCAGTTATAAACTGCTTACTAACGTTTATTAATGTAGAGTTAATGCTTGACAGATTATGAATTCACTATTTGCTAATGCTTAATAAATGATATATAGTGTGTAGTTATTAAAAAGTGTTACCTTATTTTCTATGGAATTATAATTTTGGTTTGAGTAAAACATAATTTTTAATATTTTGTTTAATGACCTACTGATTCCATGTCTTGAAACAAAAATGAGACCAGTTTTAACAAAACTGTCAATTGGTTTTTCTATCATAACAAATGAAATCATGTGCTATGTAGACCAATTATTTTTGTACTTACATATACAGTTAAAGTCAGAATTATTAGCCCCCTGTTTATTTTTCCCCAATTTCTGGTTAACGTAGAAAAGTTTTTTTTAACACATTTCTAAACATAATAGTTTTAATGACTCATTTCTAATAACTGATTTATTTTATCTTTGCCATAATGACAGTAAATAATATTTGACTAGATATTTTTCAAGACACTTCTATACAGCTTAGAGTGACATTTTGATTTGATTTTGATGTAATTTATTTATTTTCGAACAGAAATATCATACATAAAATATCATTAACAAAAAATACATTTCAACATGGTCGAAAAGGGAGTGGGATGAAGCACAAGCTTATTATTTTCCCACCCCATCACACATACATCAATCGTCTAATACTTTAACTTATTTCTTCTTTTACTTATCTCTTCTTTTTATATGAGACATATTTTATTCTTTTGGCATCTTTACCAAATTATATGTTTGATTCCATTTGTAACTTTACATTTTGTAACATAGCCCCCCAACCCCCAAAATACATAGTACAGCAAATAGCCAATAATTGAAATTACATCATACCTTTTTCATTTGATCCTTTTTCAATCACCTTCATCATTATATTCCTTTAATAATACATATTTCTACAACTTTTTAACTTGATTATTGTCTTGACATTGTTTGAGAGTCTGACATAGACTGTTCCATAATTTCACACCACAGACAGACAGACACAAACTTTTTAAAGTTGTCCTTGTTTTCAACCTCCTGAAATTTCGTTCTTCTCTCAGATTACTCAAATACTTAGATACTTCCCCTTGTCTTTCTTCAAAAAACTTTTGTATGCATTTCGGAAGTAATTTATTCCTAGCTTTTTAACATAAATTGTGCTGTTTTAAATTCAACCAAATCATTGAACTTAAGTATCTTCAATTTAAAAAATATAGGATTTGTAGGCTCCAAATACCCCACATGTTCTGTCAGTCTAATGACTTTTATCTGCATTGTACATACGGATTGTAAATTAGATTTATATGTATTAAAGGAAAAACTAGGTTAATTAGGTTAACTGGGCAGGTTAGGGTGATTAGGCAAGTTATTTCATCACGATGGTTTGTTCTGTAGACTATCAAAAATATATATGTATAGCTTAAAGGGCCTAATAATTTTGAGCTTAATTTTTTTTTATTATTATTATTAAAACTGCTTTTATTCTAGCCGGACAAATAAGACTTTCTCCAGAAAACAAAAGTGTTATCAGACATGGTGCTCCGGTTTCCCCCACAGTCCAAAAACATGTGCTATAGGTGAATTGGGTAAGCTAAATTGTCTGTAGTGTATGTCTGTATGTTCTACACAAACCTAGTAGACAAATTTTATCTCTCATTTTTTTTTCATAATTGCTCTACGTGACCGAAAGATTTTTTGATTTCACTTGATTTGCAATTTCTACTTTAATCAGTTAAGCTGCCAGGGTGTATATTAAGTATTTCTATTTTTAGAAAGATATTCTAATGATATAAATATGTGGAAAAATAATGTTTTTTCCAAGCATCAAGCATGTTCTAGTATAATTTTTTTCTACATATATTAAATTTGTTTGTATATATTTATATTGTATGTACAACCCACAAACAAAATAAAGACACAACCTGACAAAAGTGTTGTCGCCTATCCAAGTTTTAGGAACAACAAATAATAACTTGACTTCTAGTTGGTCATTTGGTATCAGAAGTGGCTTATATGAAAGGTAAAGGCTTCTAGATTACACTTATTTTACCAAAATAACATATGATCATGACTTGATTTTGAATGATTTAATTAGGACAGTAAGCTCTGACTTTGCTTAGACAATAGTTTTGTCACTTAAGAGAAATAATGTATAGTATAGAATATAAAGTCATGGTGCAGTGGAAAAACAATTAATATTGTGTATGACTCCCATGAGCTTGGAGGACTGCATCCATACATCTCTGCAATAACTCAAATAACGCATTCATAGTCATCTGGAATGACAAAGAAAGCGTTCTTGCAGGACTCCCAGATCTTCATTGGCTCCTCTTTCATGTTACTCCAGACATGCTCAATAATGTTCATGACCGATGACTGGGCTGGCCAATCCTGGAGCACCTTGACCTTCTTTGCTTTCAGGAACTTTAATGTGAAGGCTGAAGTATGAGGAGCGCTATCCCGCTAAAGAATTTGCCCTCTCTTGTGGTTTGTGTAATGTAATGTGCAGCACAAATGTCTTGATACCTCAGGCTGTTGTCACACGCCCCCATACTGAATGTCTTCCCAAACCATGATTTTTCCTTCACCAAGCTTGACTGATTTCTCTGAGAATCTTGGGTCCATGCAGGTTCCAATAGGTCTTCTGCAGTATATGTGATGATTGGGATGCAGTTCAACAGATGATTCATCAGAAAAATCTACCTTCTGCCACTTTTCCGAATGATCAACTAGAAGTCAAGTTATTATTTGTTGCTCTTACAACTGGGATCAACAAGACGTTTATCAGATACTGTAGTATTATTTAAATCTTCCCTCTTTAAATTCAACAAGAGAGTAAGTGAAAGAATTTATCAACACTCCAGCTCTGTTTCCTGTATTACACCAGTTGAAGCTAAAGCTTTGTGAATCACGCACCTTTCCTCCATCAGCGTGGTACTCCTTCTCATCGATGTCCAGCAATCTGGCAAGCCCAAAGTCTGTAATCTTCACGTGGTTTGGGTTTTTCACCAGAACATTTCTAGCCGCAAGATCTCTGTGAACCAGCCTCACTTCTTCAAGGTAACTCATTCCCTGGGTACGCAAAGATACAGACATGACAATCTCACAATTCCAGATTCAGCAGTGCATTTTAACACTAGTGTTAGCAGCTGAAACTTTGCAGTGTGCGTACAGTGTGTAAATTAAAACATTTACCTAAACCGAGTTAAAAACAGAAAGCTGTTTACATGAAGCTAACATCACTTCAGATCAGCACAAGAACAATACTGGGATAATTAGGTAAAATTAAACGCATTTTATAAGACAATTAAAGTGTTTTTTTGACCTTGCATGCATATCAGACTGTTGTTGGAGACCCCAAAAAACAAAATATGACCTATCATAATGCATAATAGAGATTATAGTCTCAAAAATTTTGTTAAAACACAACTTAGATATTAGATAGACTGACAACAAAGCTTGCTGCCAACAGCACATTTGGTGTAGATTCTGAAGATATCTTACCTTTGCAATCTGAACACACCAGCTGAGGAGATACTGAGAGCCAATTCGGTCCTTGTTCTCTCTGACGTAGTCCAACAAGCATCCGTATGGCATGAGCTGAGTAACCAGCTGAACCGTTGATGTCAGACAGATTCCCAGCAAACGGCACACATATGGGCTCGCTACACCCGCCATCACATAAGCCTCCTGTGGAGAAAGGCACACATACACAATATAGTGTATATATTAAAGTATATATGTATATATTAAACTCAGCGTGAGCTGGACGTTTTTGCGCATCATTCTCTCATAGCAAACTAATGGTAACAGGGGTGCGGTTAAAATTATTGATATAGAGTTGCTATGGAAGCCTAATATAGCTAATGGTCAGACTTTGATTGTAGATTACCAAAACTATATTTTTTAAGTGGATAAACTTATGGATTAATTGTTCACTTGAGGAATAACAATGTGATCTAGCAAAACAAACATTGTACATTTTGATTTCACACGGACTTTAAACTCACACAGAATTGGTTATTGTTATCGAGTTGTACTGCAAATGTGTTTTTGACATTGTTAGCAGGAAGGTGCATTTTTTTGACTATGGAGACAAAGATTTTGACAACTGGTTGCGAGATGCAATGAGCTTCATTCATTTGGAAAAAAATAGAGTTTACAATAAATGGCAAATCTAGTGCTTTTTCTGAGACATGGGAGCCATTTTGATTTTGATTACTTCTGAACATGTGAGTATTTCTACAGACTGTCAATCTAAGCCTTAGGGTTGTTCAATTACAGAGTGAACTTAATTAAGTATATTGCATGAGTCTATGTGGATTGTTTATAATTTTAGTTTGTTGATGTACATGTTTACTTTGTACATTTGTTATTTCTATTTTTTATTTATGATTTATTTACACAATTTTACATTTTACAAACATAAACAACCCTCAATTTTTTATGATAATAATTTTAAAATATAATTAAATAATATTAATTATATATAAATGTTGACATCTGCCCCTCATTTAGTTGAGTAATATATATATATATATATATATATATATATATATATATATATATATATATATATATATATATATATATATATATATATATATATATATATATATATAATATTATATAATATTAGTAATATATATATATATATATATAATATTATATAATATTAATAGTAATATTATTAAATAAAAAAGAAATAAACAAAATAAAATAAAACCCAATTACTCAACTTAATGAAGGGCAGATGTCAACATTTGTGCAACAAACATACGTGGGAATAGTTATTTCAATGTGTACTATTTTTTGGATACACCACACATTGTACACCAACACACCAACTATTGTATACACCATACATTAAAAATTTGTTAAAAAGAAAATTAATTGAAATCATGGTAAAATATGGGAACACACTCACATCCAGGATTTCTTTGTTGGCTTTGGGTGAGGTGTTCTCACGTAAAACTTTGATGGCCACAGGGATCCTCACGTTCTCCCCATCAGGAGCCCAGATACCCTGGTGAGAAAAGAGGAACAGGTTAGAATTATTAGACAGTAATTTAATTACTCCGCTTAAAAAAATACATGAATAGAACTGCACAAAAATCCTGATATAGATTTGAACAGTTATTAAATCAAAGGGTTCAAAGATGCCCATTGTCACAATCACCAGCGATCTAATCCTGGCAGATTACTGGCAAACACACAGATCGCTATGGACTACAAATCCACCATTACACAAACTACAAGTTCCAGTCATGCACCTTGCTCACTGCTGTTCCTGGTTCAGTCTGATTACACATGCACACACACAGCCAAAGGATGATTACGAACTGATTACAAGGACTATTTATTGCGATTTTTATTTTACGGTATAAGTTGTAAATACGGTATAAGTGATGCAAAGCAGAGGTCTGTTATTTAAGACTTTAAGACTTTATTCTGTGAAAAAAAATATCCTGGATGTACTTTACCCCAATCATTACACGGCTGCTTACCACAAACATAAAAATGTAAGCCATAAAAGTTTATTTCTTCTTCAGTTAAATGCAAAGCTAACAGAAACAAAAACAGCTGATGAAGTATACACTAATCTGTGCATTATTCAGCCGCAAGACCAAGCCAAACTGTCAAAGTTGACAGAAACTAAATTGGCTGAATAAAGCATATACTAAGCTATGTATCATTAACTCACAAGCACCAAACAGTCAAAAACAGCAGTGTGGCAGACAAGCAGATACATATGGATGTGATTGTAACCACAGTATATGGATTTCAACATATTCACTGACGGTCAAGGTGATTCCAAGTTCCCGGATAAACCCTTGTTATACAGCAGTTGTTATCTGGGAATAACATAACTTAGAATGTTGTCTTACTTGTCTTACTATTATTTAGAAGAATTTTGGAACTGGTAGCCATCGACTTCAATATTAATATTTTCCCCTACAATGGAAGTCAATGGGTACCAGCTACTAACATTCTTCAAAACATCTTCTCTTATGATATTTTCAGTTCATTTGTGGGTGAACTATCCCTTTAACAAACCTTTTTTATCAATTCACTTGCATGTCATGTGACCATTAGCCAGCATCACAGATCTAAGAATGTGCGAATGTGTCAAAAATGATTGATTACCAAAATTAAAAAGTAAAGTAACTGTTAGTTAGTTAGGAACAGCTGATGTAGGAAAATAAACTACATTTATTGTTTAAACTGGGATTATTAAAACACATTTGATTAACATTCAGAACTTAAAAAACACTACCTTAGCATTTTTACAAATTAAAATAGTGAAACATATTATTTCTTCCTTGCCTGCTGCATTCATTAATACATTAGTGAAAGCTTAGTATGAGTTCTCCCTGTCATGAAGTCATTTTCCAGCAACTCCAGTTGCTTTGCGTTTTTTGGTAATTTAAGAGACTGGCTAGGCATGTGTTTGTGAGCAAAGACTGGCATACTTCTATGGCTGGATATTTCAGCTGAAAATCTAATATTGAGACAAGGAATGGTAACAGAGAGCTCTTTTCCTTGCTGTGTGCAGTGTCTTACCTTGAAGACGGTGCCGAAGGCTCCGGAGCCGAGCACTCTGAGCTTCTTCAGCTCTGTCTCCTTAAGGATCCGCATCTGAGCCTGGTTTGGCATTGCTCCACTCGGGGTCAGCGGCTCCACCAGCTTCAGGGAAAAATGAGACACCAGTAAACAGCAATACTCCAATCACACATTCTTCAGACTGCACAAACCGAAGAATGCTCGAGTATGCTTTGCTACATATAAAGTGGCCAAGAACAGCAAAGTTGGGCAGACTTTTTCTAAATTTACTTTTAGTTCGTGTTTATTTTATATTTAGGCTCAATGAACTCTGTTCCACAACTAGGATAATTAGCATTTTATGGAATTTTTGGTTGAAATCATAATTTGGCCAAGTCAATATACCAGATATTTTTTAGATTATTATTTAATCTGAATGGCCACCTAAACACTTTTCCATTAAATATTTAAGTTACTAAATAAATAAATAAATAAATAAATAAATAAATAAATAAATTTATATATACACACACAACATAAACAGTTCTCAGCATAAATAAGTACACTGCATTTTGATTATTTTTATTCATTTCTCATTGAATATAGGCTATATATTTTGGTGCATTTAAATAAAACAGATTTATTAAACAGATATATTTATTTAAAAAACATTTCTGTCAAGACTATCTTCAGAAAAAGAAAGATAATACATTTAAATTCAAGAGAAATTTTGCACAAAGATTCAAACAAAAGTATGTATATTTTTTTGTTTCACACACATACATACATATATATATATATATATATATATATATATATATATATATATATATATATATATATATATATATATATATATATATATATATATATATCTATACAGGGCTTGACATTAACACCCGGAAACCCGTAGATTTCAGCTGTGGAGGGTTAGACAGTCACTGCCACTAGCCACTTTATTTTGTAGTTTTCTTAAAAGCAGGGTTAGACAATAAGGATGGCCCAATATTTGTGCAAAAGTGGTCTTATAATCGAGAAGCAGCACGACTGACAAAAATAATTGTGTTTGCACAAGCAAAAGAAAGCAGGTGAATACCAAATGAGAATAATCAATGGCACGCATAGGTGATTTAATGCGTGTGACTGCTTTCAAGAGCTCAAGATTTTAAATACAAAAGGATATATTTATTAATGAGTAATACCACATGAGGAGCAGTGTGATATGGCTTTATATTGGCAATGGTGGGAGGCATGCGTTGGCACGAGGCCGCAGGCGGAGTATACAGCCATATCGCACTGCTTAGAGTGTGATATTGCGTTTATACAACAGTTTGACAGCATGATTGTGTATATAAAAACAAAATCAAACATGGAGAGTCTCAAAAGCCCTTTTGTATGAGGAACTACTTTCTTCTGCGTTGGATTTAAGCTGACAGTTAAACAGCTGAGCAAGCATCTTTTAAACTTTAGATCTGTGGTGTCTGCTTTTTGCTGGTTGTGTGTGGGCGGAGTAATACACAATGGGTAAAGAGGCTGTACGGGTGCGGATATTACTTAAATATATCACAGTTATCAGCCAATCAGATTCGAGAACCAGACAAAACTGTTGTGTAAATACATATATAGTGGTCGCTGCTTTTACTTTAACTATTCTTTAAACAGATTATTAACTAGCCTAACATTAACCGTGAGTACATGATCATCATCCTTTCAGTATGTTCTTACCTGCTTTCTTTTGCTTAGTTATTTTTGTTATATCGGTTTAATTATCATTTTTTTTTACAATAACATTGCTTTAATAGGAGATTAGCTCCCCATTTATCTGTAGTTAACTGGTGATCTGGGAACTTTAGCCAGGGCAGATTACTGTGCATATTTTAGACACGACAACAATTTTTTTTTTAATGTCAACTTTTTTTAAGAAAAGTTTTGCTGAATAAAAGTGCATGTAAACAAATATATATATTGTGTTGGAACTGAATGAAATCTTAACTTAAAATCCAAATGGGTTGTTTGAGAAAATGTTTTGGAAAAAAGTCAATTATAAAAAAAATGTTAAAACCGATTAAGTACCAAAATTGCTAATTAGAAGATTCCATTCCAATAAAATATCAAATTTTGCAAGGTTCTTGCAAAATGTAGGGAAGTGACTACATTTGGTTAAAAGTCACAATGGTGGCTCTACCAGTCTTTCTGATCTCTGATCTGCACTGACATTTCCGGTGGATAAGAGAAATATTAAAGGCAAAGTATCAGTATTGGCTTACAGTATCATCTCAGCCCAAAAGACTACTTCCTAAAAAACAAAATAGCCTTTTGTTGATATGTAAACAATACAATACAAATGTATACAATACAAAACAAATAGACAAATCCAAACGCATTTTCTGTTCAACATAACATAGCAGCATGAAATCAAAATGAGTAAATTCTGCAGCTCAACCACAGTAGGATTTCAAATGATTAAACGAATGCAAATAAAATACAGGTATGTGACCTCATGCTCCTGTAGGCGTCTCCTTATGGTTTCTTTCTTTTTCTGATGTTTCTGTCGCCGTAGGTAAAACACCAGCAGAGCCAGCAAAATGATGAAGAGAAGCACTCCACCGACCGTGATTGCAACTGTTGTGCCGGGCCTGCAGGGGTTTCATGACAGACAATTAGATGTAAGCAAGACTGTGCGATCTATAAATCTGCAGTGCATATCTACTAGGAATGGGTGATATGGACTTAAAATGGGATATTATTTGGTATTTATTGTGCCCGAAATAATTTTGACAATGATTCATCTGCATGCACTGGAGTATTCATTTTTATGTTTCAATGTCTTGCAGAGCTCAACCATATTTAAACACTGAAGCAGCTGATCAAGCTTTTCAGGTTCATTGAAAAGACCTGGAGCATATGTTTAAATGTTGTTTCTTTGATAAACATGCAAAACTATTGCAGTTGTACAACTGTCATTATAACTAATTATATGTTTTACTGTTATTAAATTTTTTTTATGGGGTGACTTTTTAGAATATCTTCGCAAACAAGCTTTCTAGAGTACCAAGTCAAAAACGTATATCACCAAACCATACACTCACCGGCCACTTTAATAGGTACACCTTACTGGTACCTTGTTGGACCCCATTTTGCCTTCAGAACTGCCTTAATCCTTTGCTGTATAGATGCAACAAGGTACTGCAAATATTCCTCAGAGAATGTGGTCGATATTGACATGATAGCATCTCGCAGTTGCTGCAGATTTGTCGGCTGCACATCCATGATGCAAATCTCCCGTTCTCCTGACTAAAGAGGCCATTACACTACCACCACCAGCCTGAACCGTTGATACGAAGCAGGATGGCTCCATGCTTTCATGTTGTTGATACCAAATTCTGACCCTACCATCCAAATGTTGCAGCAGAATTCGAGACTCATCAGATCAGGCAATGTTTTTCCAATCTTCTATTGTCCAATTTTGGTGAGCCTGTGCCAATTGTATAAATTGTGTAATTGTGTTTCCTTTTCTTAGCTGACAGGAGTGGCAAAAAGTGTGGTTTTCTGCTGCTGTAGCCCATCTGCCTCAAGGTTGGACGTGTTGTGCGTTCAGAGCTGCTCTTCTGCACACCTCGGTTGTAGCGAGTGGTTATTTGAGTTACTGTTGCTTTTCTATAAGCTTGAACCAGTCTGGTCATTCTTCTCTGACCTCTGGCATCAAAAAGGCATTTATACCCACAGAACTGCCGCTCACTGGATATTTTACTTTTTTCGGACCATTCTCTGTAAACCCTAGAGATGGTTGTGCATGAAATCCTAGTGGATCAGCAAATCTAAAATACTCAGACCAGTCCATCTGCCATTAGCAACCATGCCACAATCAAAGTCACTCAAATCCCCTTTCTTTCCCATTCTGATGCTTGGTTTAAACTGCAGCAGATCCTCTTGACCATGTCTGCATGCCTAAATGCATTAAGTTGCTGCCATGTGAGTGGCTGATTAGAAATTTCTTTTAACTCGCGGTTGGACATGTATATTAAAATTGGCCGATGGCCGACAGACACCATGATGTTGAGCCGGCATCGTGATGCTCCGCCCGGCCATCGTTGCAAATCCACTCGCGAAAAATACACACTCAGGCCCTGTTTACACTAATAGGTCATAGTTTTTAAATGGCATTTTAGAACGAAAACAATCCACATCCACTCTGGCATTTCACCTAGCATTTCTGAGCAGCCCTCCTTCCACACTACAGCTAAAAACGCACATCACGGGACCACACACACTGCCATGCGCTCGAGACAGCGCCAGTCAGCGGGTCAGTCGACTGGTTCAATCTTTCGCTTTTACGCTTGTATTTAGTAATTTTAGCGAAAACCTCAGATACTGTTGGCTGGTTCCTGTTGGTTATGCACCTTTTTTACCAACCAAGTTTGTTGACGCCAATTTAATGACACAGATCACTCTGCCTATTCACGCCTATTCACAAGTCCAGCGGAAAAAGTAATTGACAGGTGGTAATTATGTGAGTAACTTTATTTATTTATGATTTGTTTATGGGTGAAACAAAGACCATGCGGCTCAGTTGGTTAAAACGGTAAGCTACAAATAATAAATTCGTTATGAATTCATTAATTATTCATAATTAATTCACCGCCGCCTACGATGACGATGTCATCGTCCATCGCAATGTTTCATACTAGAGATCGTACGATGCCAAATTAGTCGACATCGCCCAACCATAGTTGAAACAAAATCAAAATGCACAGCCAATTTTAAATTAGCCATGGAATAGAAACTAATTTTAAATACTAAACTATTGCGACTTTGCTACATACACTTTTATATGGTAAAGTCTTACCCAGTTTTCTGTTGAATGGGACACCCTCTATCATCCAGTGGACACCTGACAGTAAACACAAAACAGAAAACTTACTCCAAATCCTAAATTGTTTCATATAACCTGATATAGACTGTGCGATCATGGTTTATGGACTCAGCAAAGGACTTACGAGACAGTACAGTTGGTCTCACAGGGCAGACAGTGTCCCGTAGCATTGGAGTATTTCCACACAGTGTGTTGTTCCTCTTTGACTCCACTGGGACAGCGCTCGACACACACGTCTCCATCTTGAAAGTGCGTACAGTCTGTACACTGATCTGGACCCTGTGCACAGCAAACACAACTGAAATGGTAGAACATCCAAAAATGAAAAGTACCTCATGGTTTAACTCATCCCTGACGGTGGTTTTAGACCTTTATGATTGATCAATTCTAGTTGATGATACCCATCAAGTGTCGGAAAACAATTTCAATGAGAGTCAATGGGTGCCAGCTACCAGCATTATTCAAAATATCTTATAAAGATACATCATACAAAATATTGTAAAAATAAATCATACAAAATATCACAAAAAATAAACTTGAATAAGATTTGAACTAGTGAATGAGTAAATGACGACAAAACGTATATTTTACGCTTTTCTATCCCTTTTATCACAGCCACATCACGCTGCATCCCCAGAGCAGTTACTCACTCAAGCTAAGCTGGGCTGAGCCTGGTCAGTACCTGGATGGGAGACCGCATGGGAAAACTAGGTTGCTGTTGGAAGTGTTGTTAGCGAGGCTAGCAGGGGGAGCTCAACCTGTGGTCTGTGTGAGTTCTAATGACCCAATATAGTGAAGGGGACACTATACTGTCTGTAAGCACCATCTTTCGGATGAGACATTAAACCGAGGTCCGGACTCTCTGAGGTCATTAAAATCCCATGGTACTTCTCATAAAAGAATAGGGGTGTAACTCTCGTGTCCTGGCCAAATTTCCTTTATCGGCCCTTATCCATTATGGCCTCAAAATCATCTCAATACACCAAATTGGCTCTTTCACTATGTTTTCATCCAAAAATGCGAATGAACTTTATGCACAGAACTGGATTATCGCATAAAAGACGTGCAAATAAAGCAGCGTTTCCATCCAACGAGTCAAAGCGAACAAAATCGTCACCTCCTAACTAACTGGCGGCAAATATCAACACGGAATTTGCTGCAGTAGGAGAAGCTGAGTCAATCTTTTCTTTATCTAATGACTTGCGCCTCAGAAGGCAATCCTGACACGCAGTGAACGTGCGGTGGCGTTTGAAGGTGTCAGATACAGAGCACAGATGCTCTGGATTATAGAGATCATTAATACTTAAACGGTAAGGCGTTTTAGAATGACCAAAACAACCTTTCAAATGTTTAACAATGTGCTCAGCCTGCTGGTTTGTCCATTCACACACAGTTTCATCATCACATGATCTCTTATCACAAAATCACAACCTTTTTTAATGCGCATAGTGGAATTTGTGCGAGAAAAGTGTTTCCATCGCAGTTTATACTGATTTTTTTCTTATTGAATAAAAATGTATACAACTAAGTTATGCGCGCAAGTTTTTTATGCGCTTTTTCAAAATTTATGCGCATCTTGACGTTTCCATCAACTGATTTTTTATGCGCATATACAAAATGTGCATAAAAATAGGTGAATGGAAACAGCTACTGTCTCTCCACTCCACCAATAGCTGGTGTGTGGAGAGCACAATGGCACCACTGGCCTGTGCTGCCGTCGCATCATCCAAGTGGATGCTGCACACTAGTGGAGGAGTGGGGAGACCCCTCCCCTTCATGATTGTAAATCGCTTTGGGTGTATGACCATACATGGTAAATCCCCTATATAAATACAAATTACTTACTTATTTACTTAATTTTTAGTTAAAGTTGACTAAAATAAACTAAGATCACTTTTTTACATAAAATAAATTAAATTGTTAAATAAATACATTAAGAAATAAATAAATGCATGAAAGACAACATCTCTCATTTTAGCTTAAAAGTAAAATAAAAGTGAAAACTAAAATAAAAAATTTGCAGACAATGAAAAATTTTATTTCTAAATTACTTTAAATAATACTTTAAACTAAAAAATAAATAATAAATAAAAATTGTTAAAAAAACAAACAAACAGGAGTACTAACAATAAAAAAACTATTCTGTCATTATTCCTCATCCATGTCTTTTCAAACCTGTCTGACTTCCTGTCTTTCTTCCTTCCATGGAACACACACACAAAAATCATTTGTTTTTCTTTTTAATTTTTTACATCACTTCCTAGTACTAAGGAACTGTGTTGTTGTTTTTAATCTAGAACAAAATGTATAGTGCTCAGCATATATAAATACACCCGTCACAAATCTCTCATTTAAATTCATAATCTCAATAGGAAGCTTTACAATATTATATTTGTGCATATACATCAGATTAGTCAGTACTGAAGTCCAATCTGGAGCTTATCTAACAAAATAACTTACAATAATGGTTCAAAAATTAGCAGCCCAAATTTATGTTTGATAAAAATATTCAATAACATTTTTTAAAATAGCAAAAATGAAGAGAAACAAAAAATTTGTCCAATTTTGTCAATATTTCCTTGAATTTAATTGTATTATCTTTCAATTTCTAAATTTGTTTGTTGACTAAAATATGATTGTAACAAATATATCTGTATAATAAATCGGTTTTGTTTAAATGCACCAAAATACATGACCCATATTCACTGAGAATTGGATACAAATATTAATTTTCAAAATGGGCTGTACTCATTTATGCTGAGCGCTGTACTGTAACAAAAACTACATTATTAAGATGACAAAGTCGGTTTCTCATTTTGGTGCTTTTTAGTGCACTTTCATTATTTTTATTACCATTGTATGCAAAAAAAGAGCAGTTTAAACATTCTGATAAACATCTCCGTTTCCGTTTTTCACCAAAAGAAAGTTGAACAAGTTTTAAATAACAAACTTTGTATTTAGGGGACATCATTAAGACTACTTTAAACATCTCTAATATTTTTTATGTATGTAATGTCGATAAATATGCATGTGTATAAAAATGACTCTTACTGGGCCTGTACAGGAGGCAGTGCCATTGATTGGTCGACACTCGGGATGACAAGGAACACAGTTAAATCCATCCTCAAACTCCCGCACTGACCTGTTGCAAATGGTGTAGAGAAAAAGATATAAATGTTTCATTTGATAGTTAATGAAACTACACAGTAAAAAAAAAAAAGAATTTTGTTGCTTTCATTCATTTTAATCAGGTTTTAGGTTACACAAAATTTAACTTAATATTTTTTATCAGTTTGATTGATGTAAGTTGAAATGACTAGAAAAGTTAACTTTAAAATGCAAGACAGCAATAATATTTTTACAGTGTATGTTCCGTATTATAGGAAGGCATGGTGTGGTTAGAACGTCGCTAGTTCGAGTCCCGGCTGGGTCGGTTGCAGTTCTGTGTAAAGTTTGCATCCCTGTGTTGTTGTGGGTTTCCTCCGGGTGCTCTGTTTTACCCCACAGTCGAAAGACATGCGCTATAGGTGAACTGGATGAACTAAATTGGCAATAGTGTATGTGTGTGAATGAGTGTGTATGGGTGTTTCCCAGTACTGGGTTGCAACTGGCAGGGCATCATCTGCATAAAAATTATGCTTTATAAGTGAATAATGAGACTGAGCCCAAAGAAAATGAATGAATTAATTAATTAATTATTTAATGTATTCTGTTGTATGTCATTAGAAGTAACTTTCCTTCGACTTCTCTTATTTATTAGGGGTCGCCACAGCGGAATGAACTGCCAACTATTACAGTATATGAATGTTTTACACAGCAGATACTCTTCCAGCAGTAAACCCAGCACTAGGAAACACCCATGCACGCTTGTATTCACACATACACTCATACACTACAGCCAATTTAGTTCACCCAATCCACTTATAGCGCGTGTCTTTGGGTTGTGGGAGAAAACAGAGCACCCGGAGGAAACCACTCGAACCAGTGACCTTCTTGCTGTGAGGCGACAGTGCTAACCACTGAGCCACCGTGCCACCCTTATTTCATTGAAAAAGCCTTGTGCATCTAATTCAAAATGGCAATAAAATATATCATACTCAATAAAGTATAAACAACAAAGCACAAAAGGCAAAAAAAATATGTGTTTTACTCACCCGTGTAGGACATTACACAGCTCCACACACTCAGTTCCTCGTTTGTAATTCAGACAAGACACACATTGACTGGGTCCTGGACCCCAACAACCTGAATCCCCACACAAGGGGTCACATATTTTCCCCTCTGAAACTAAACACAGAAAGAAAAAGTCTTGTTTGATTCCATGTCAAGCATGTTTAAAATACTTCTCATTATGGGAAGCTAAAAAGTAGAAACTCTTCTCGTTGAAGTTTAAATAGGGTAAAGTAGTGAGCTGAAGTGATGTCCGGTTTAAGAAAATCAATATCTTCCTCTTCAGTAGGTCTGTCATGATATCTATTTTATGTTGTACCCATATATTGCACCAAAATATATTGCAATAAACAATATTATTGACATTTTAGGACCATTCTATGCCACTTGTTATATAATGCCAGAATTACAATATATACAAAATCAAAATAACAAATAATATAACAAATAATAGCATCACAATGCAAGTACAATCTTGCAAAGACCCAACACATCATATTTTATTTTTAAGAATACTTCTTTTAATTTTAGTCATTTTAACTATTTACTAATCAGGCATTGGAATCAAAATGTGAAAATGCAGGTCCTAAATAAATAATAATAAATGTTAACAAAAAAGTGTAAGGTAAAACATACAGATGCTGTGATATATGCTACCAGATCTACAGTATTTTTAATTGTCAGACACTCACACTAAAATATGCTATAGTAATTTATAGTAAATACTAGAGTGTTTTTTAACCATACTGACACCTCCAGTAGAGATAGAGAAGTTGTGCAATTAGCTAAAATGTTGCTAGAATTGTTTTTATATGTATGGGTGATATACCTTATATTTCATCACCAAAAATTATTGAGGCCATTTCCATGTGTTGAGCGAGAAGGCGATATATTGATATATTGAGGAGGCCTACACCTCAGGTTTAAATATACTGATTTTATGTTCATGTGTTTTGTAAGCATACTGTGCAGAGTAAAATGTAGCATAGCTGCTAGTCAGAAGGGGAACCTATGAAATAGTAATAACTGATGGTGTTGTGATCAATGAATTCTTTATTTTTTATGAGCATTCTTATGTCTTAAGTGTGATTCGGCATAGCAAAATAAACCCACATTCTGTAACAAGTTGTAGATTTTTGTTTTTGATTGTAGAATTTATTTAATTCTACAAATAGAAATAAATTAATTAAATGTACTTATAATAATAATAATAATATAATAAAGTAATTATTCAGTTAAATTAAAAATTAAATGTATTATCAATTAAATTAAATGACATATTGAATTAAATTTAATATTTTATTTAATTCAATTTATAATGAATTTAATATTGAATTTAACTGAATAAGTAAATTAAATTAAAAAAACATTTTATAGCTGTATTACTCTAGTTTTTCTGATGCTTGAAATATATCTTTGTATTTTACCCAAATTAAAATATATTAATTTGCTTTTAAATAATCTTTTTTTCTTAACAGCTCCCACTCACACTAATGAAGCAGTTTTGTTTCATGCCCGTAAAGCATAATATTTCCAGAAGTAAACCTTTAATAAATAAGAAAATGCAGTGATTGAAAGGATTTACAAAATAACTTTCAGAGATGTAGATTTGGTTTTACTTTTATTTGATTTATTTACTCAATTCAGTTATTTTATTCCTTTCTATTCCTGTTCTGTTTTTAGTTAGTCTGTGGTTAAACAAAATGAAAATTACCCGTTATTTTGACAAAAACACACACAAAAAAGAGATGAATATTTAGATAATAATTAAATAAACTAAAATGTCTTAAATGTCTTCTAAAATGACTTAAATTGCCCTGGAATTTTTATGCAGGTCATTGAAGAAAAACACATACAAACTATACAAAAAAAATCTGCAAATTAGCTTTAATTAATATTTGTGATATATTTTTCCCCCCAGAATTATTTTGTGCTTTTGAATTGTATTATGGGACCTTGATCTTTCTTCCAACAACGTTTAACTTTCCAAAGCTCCAAAAAAGTCACTTTTATGAATATTTTTAATAGTTAAAGTGATATATTGTCTGAGTTGGTGTTGTATACGCAAAAAAAAAAAAAACTTAACTATAAACCTTAACTATAAACTATAAATTGTCAGTATATTTGCTTATATTTTACAGACTTATAATTATTTATTTATTTATTATTATTTCTTATACATTTCACAGTACTAAAATGTCAATAAAAGTCACTTTGTTAAAGGGTGGTCCACTACGATATCATATTTTAAACTTTAGTTGATGTGTAATGTAGCTGTGTGAACATACACAACATCTCTGAATCTAAGACGCTCAAAGTTCAATACAAAGAGATGCATTGGCTTTTACAGTTAGCTTATTGAAGCCTACAGCGAACAAAGTTTGGGGGCTCCAAAAAAATACACCCGGGTTAATGATGTCATAAACACTTCAGGTTACGCACATACACCCCATGCACTGAAGGGGCGTGGCCAGAGGCACTGTAATGTTATAACAGTGACATTTCCTGGTGATGTGGAGCTGATCTGCGAATCACAGTACATTATGTTTCAGAGGAACTAGGTAACATGACAGTCGTTTTTATGTTAGCTGAGTAGCTACATATAATCAAAATAAGATATATGAAAAAATAACGTGATTTTCTACAAATATAGCATGAACACACATTGCTTTGCATCTGAAGCCTAGTTTACACTACAGGATTTTAAACATCAGCAGATCGCTGTGCTGTTCACACTACATGACTTGACTTTGTGTCTTTTAATCTCTGTGGTGTTCACACTACGCAACACTCCGTGAACGATCCACAAGAGGGGGGTCACACACTACATGATCTGACAACAACTCATTCCCCATCAGCTCATTCAAGCTCCCAAACCACAGCCAATGAAATTTTGAGGGAGGAGTCGTCAGAAAAAGCTGAACACTATTGGCTGCTTGTGTGCTGACGACATCACTGACAGAGTTTCAAGCTTTGGAGAAAGCATTTAAAAACATCGTCAAATCAGCTGATTTATGAGCGGATTAATCACTCATCTGCAGGTTCCAGTGGATAGATACACAGAGAGTTTTTAATTTTTGTAATTTTATAACTCTTTGAAATAAAACTAACATATTTATAACACCCTGCCGTTTTCTAACTATCAGTGTATTTCTTTCTGACATTGTTATTTTTTTTATTACAAAACAGTAAAGAACTGAGCATTTCTGCCTTAAATTACCATATTGGTCAAAATGACTGCATGCATGTCTGATACTTTTCACTGTGACTTTAAATATGTGTGCATTTTCTTGCCTGGCAACTTCCTGCTAACATAAACAAAACTTTCTGATGGCAAAAACATCAATTTACTTCAGATATCTTTCAAAACAGCACATTATTTGCTGTGAAATAGCTCCTGTTTGAAAGTGAAAATGAAAGCCAAGCCTTTAAGTGTTTTAGTATATTAACTACATATTTATAGGCTGTATTACAAAAAAGATTATATTTTTAGGGTAATGGTGTCATTAAATATGGTGCCAGACATTCAAAGCTTAATTTTAATATCTCAATAATAGTTTTGACTGTAAATATGTTGTGACAATATGGTGTTTTATATGAGAACGGTCAGAAAGAGCAGTATGGTAATTCTAATAGTTACAGAATTCTAGTTCCACTGTTAATATAGTCTACTCTCATGTCTTTGCTAACGCAAAATGAATCCAGTGCACCGATGCCCATTCTGACCAATCACAGATGTTTCTGCTGAGCTCCTGAACACACAGGCACGCGGCTCATGCTGATCTGCTCTCTCATTGGCTGCAGCTCGTCACTACATCTGATCACATGTGGGGTTGAGTCGGCCGACTGCTCTGGAATATTTAGCATGCTGAATGTTGGATTTCCGTCTGCGAGGTGTCGGCGACGCGTCAGCGAGCCTCGTTGATGCGTTGTTCAGTAGTTCACACATAAAGAGCGGCGAGCGCCGAGCACCCGCAGATTTCTTCCCGATCACAGCCCGATCTGTCGGCGAGCTCGTTAACTTCCAAATCGGGCTCAAATCAGGCTTAAAATCCTCTAGTGTGAACTAGGCATTATAAACACAACCAAGCCTTAAAAATACACTCTGGACTACCCCTTTAAACTGTAGACTTGAGTTTTCAACATCAAAAGTCAACAGAGCAGAGATTAAGGTCTCATAATGCAATTTACAACCGTAAGTAAAAAGAAAACACTTGTTAATCACAAAATATGGAAACTTTTACAGGGTACTCTGGTTTTGGGTGGCAGGAAAATTACAGACTAGCCCCTATAAATCACATTACGTCCCCATGACAGACCATATAAGCAGGGCTAAACATAAGAATGGATGTTTACCACATGTTTGCTGGTCTTTGTTGTTGTTGCTGATGAGGTTTGGTCCTTGTGTTGGGTGGAGCAGTGAGGTCCAGGGCAGAGAGGAGGTGTAACACAGTCTGGAGTTATTATGAATCAGCACTAAACCTCCACTGACACTGCGTAAAGAACGCAATCCCAGCGACTCGATCTGCAGAGACTGAACTCCCAAAGAGAAAACACCCCTGAAATGAGAGACAGCAAAATTCATGTATTACATTCCAAAAGAAATAAAACAGCAAGAGTTAACCGTTTAGGCAGAACAATTTAATTGATTGCTTGTGTGAACGTTCTAGCAACAAAGCTGAACCTGTGCACAATGTACTGGATAAATGTGATTTCAAGAGGTCAAACTTAGATATTGCTTGAAAAAGATGTTTACTTTAAACATTTAAAAAGAGCATATTTTAGAGCAGTAATCACAATACCGTGACACTGTGAAACTGTGATATATTTGTCCAAGGTCAATCATACCATCAGAATCTTACCGGGCCATGCCTAATACATACACAGCAGCCGCATTTCCACTATCGGGCCAGTGCGAGCCAGGGCTTTAATCGGGCCGGGCCGGGCCAATAGCCCGGGAGGTTGAGAAATGAGGCCGAAATCATGTCGCGTTTCCACTGTCGGGCTGATAGCTCACAGCGTGTCACGCAAACACCGCCCACAGAACGTCCCCGAATCAAACGTCACACAACCCGCCCACTTCAGCGGGAATGAGGCAGATAAAGCACACCATAAAATCATCACGAAATGAAACCATTAAAATGAAGACAACCGAAACAAACAAATGACACGTTACTGTACAGCCGTACATGAAATGTCTATACGCACAGACCTGTGTATTTCCATTCATTACATTTGTTTACTCGCTGACCGACTGTTGGCATTGTGCATTGCTCTCGCCACTAACGGACCCATCACAGTGAGCGCACACATCCATAATATAAAGCCACAGAAATTCTCCTTTATAACTCGAAATAGCACGTCTTATTAAGTGTTTCCGGCACAAGAAGAGCGAGTAGCCTAATAAAATATAGCCATATTTGTTGCGCTCAGCAGCTATTCACTAAAGCTCTTCATTTAAAGTTTCATTTATAAATTTAACCTCATCATATAAAAACATAAACAGTTGTTTGAGGATATAGAACACATTTTGTGTTTGGGCTTTCCCCCAATGCGTTTAAAGCTGCGCTGCGCAGGACAGAAAAAAAAAGGTAGGCTAGATTCTGCATTCACTCACCCAAATAATGCTCTGTTTGCGCGATTTGATTAATATCATCGTATCCAAATACTTTATAAATATTTACTTATATAAATATTTACTTTATATAAATATTTTAAACCTTCTCCGGTGTTTATTGTTTTTAGAAAATATCTAAAATCTTTTTTTATTTCAGATAGGTCTTTGTAAAATAAAAATTAGGCTATATGTGGCTTTAAAACGGTTTGATTTATGTATTGTCTATAGGCTATCTAAATTGTTGTAGCTAACTTTTGTTTATTTTATATTGGTTTATTTATTTAATGCGATTTTATATATATTCGATATTTGTAATTCTTTAAATTATATTTCAATATAGCTCAGGCTATTTTATCAAGCAATGACAATATATTGTTTAAAGTCTACGAAAGTGGGCTCGTAATTTGATAAGTTTTATGTCTTTCTGTTGTATTTATATTGTGTATTATCTCAATATCTGCCCGCTCGCGGCATCAACAGAGCTGATTCGGTCTTCCTCGGTCTTACACACAAATACAGGCATTTAAACGAGCACAAACACACCTTTTAAACTTGACAAAAACTCTCGAAAACCTTTACTGTCTGCTGTGTTTTTAATATGGTGTAATGATTATTATGCGCTATTGAAACATAAAGGAGGACGCAGCAAAGAACGTCACTATAAAATAAAACTACTTTATTGTTTTATGCAGCAGCCTTACATTTAAAAGGGAAACATAAGGGTGATCATATGCAAAAAGATCCCAGACTGTAAGGCTAGATGTTTTCTTTCCCTTATTTCTTTATTTGTTTGGCGCATGTACTCATGTGCGATCAGAAAACTGCCCGCCTCTCCTTTCACTCCGCCCCGAAGCCCCAGCTGGCCCTCCTTGGCCCAAGGTATTCGGCGGGCTGAAAAAGGCCGGCCGCTGGCCCCAAGAAAGCCCCGCTTTGGCCCGATTAAGCCCCGGAAGTGACAGTGGAAACCCCACTGGCCTTGGCTCGCTCGCTTTAGGTGCGATAGTGGAAACGCGGCTAGTGTTACTTTTGAATTTAACCACTCATTTATCGTAAAACTTCCTGATATGTACAGCTAAAGTCAAAATTATTATTAAAAATGTTTATTTCTTTTTCAAATTTTTACCAAATGATGTTTAACAGTTAAACAGTTTTTTTCCACAGTATTTACCATAATATTTTTTCTTCTAGAGAAAGTCTTGTTTGTTTTAGTTCAGCTAGAATAAAAGCAGTCAATATTATTAGCCCCCCACTTTAAGCTGTATAGAAGTGTCTTAAAAAGATCTAGTAAAATATTATATACTGTCATCATGGCAAAGATAAAATAAATACAGATAAAAATCAATTATAAGATATAAGTTATTAAAACTATAATGTTTAGAAACGTGTTTAAAAATTTTCTCTCCGCTAAACAGAAATGAAAACATTAAACATGATAATTCAGGAGGGCTAATAATTCAGACTTCAACTGTATAACTCAATATGCACATTTGAGATATTTCTATTACTTTGATATACCAACATGCATCTCTACTCTTGATTTAGAGTATTTCAAGAGAGGAAAAATGACCGACGCTTGCACAGATTAACTAAGTGCATTCCTTTCTCACAGTCCGTTTGGTTAGAAATGGCCTGCAGGTTTGAAAGCAAAGGAAACTGATCATAGAGCAGGTGTAGAGGATAATCATTAACCTTTACAACTAACAGGAAACTGCAGCTTTGATAAGTCAAACCAGACATCAGACAAACAAGAACGTGGGTAAATAGTCTAAAACCCGTTTAAAAGGCTAAAGTGTGAAACAGGAAATGAGAAACAAAAGAAGAGAAGAAAAACAAAAGAACAGAGCATTTACTTGCACTTACTTGTAAAGCATTCGTCCTCTGATCACCTTCAGGTTTTCAAAAACACTCAGATCAAGCAAGTTTTCTGACCATGCATCTATGTACAGATATCCTGAAATACATTTTAAAGATTTTAGACCACTTCAATATATTTGTATACATCAGTCTAAATGAACCGTGATCTTCACCTGTGATTTCTTCTATCGTCTTCAACTTCTCCAGATCGCTGGGTTGCAGGCCGGATGAATTGGTGTCTGCATTTCTAAATGGGCAACATTTTATGATTTAATAAAATTAATATTCAAATAAAAGTTAGTTGAATATTCACCCTTAAAGCTTTATAAACTCATATGAGTGTAGTTGATACTTTTTAAAGAAGGTTACAGGCTGTCAAACCTTTGAAGAGGCAAAAATAGTACCATAAAATATCCTTCAAGCATATACATAAGTCTGTAAATAAAGCAGATGTTCAGAAAACAATGTTCAGGTGTTTACTTTACATGGAAATAAAATAATGACCCATTCAATATGATTTAAGAGCTACAACACAATTTTTCACTGAATTTAAGACTTTTTAAAAAGTGTTTTAGGACATAAGATATTTTAGGACCCCACGGACACCCTGCAATCTTCACTACCTAGGAAATAAACTAATATCGTCAGCAATAAAACAATAAATACTGTTGTTGGCACAACCAAGGAAGCCTCTTTCCTACATTAAAAAATCCCTTTTGCCTCAAAGCGTGCAAATGAGTGCACAGTGTGTGCGAGTAATGTGTGTGACGCAATCTGCACACAGGCACTGCTAGAAAACATTTATAACGAATCATTTTGATGACAGATTTTGCATCGGGCATTTCAGAATGACTAAAACAACATTTGAAATGGTGTGCAATGAGATTAGTACGCAAGTGTTTACTCCAGTTCTTTAATCACATGATTTGTGTGTGTGTGTGTGTGTGTGTGTGTTGCACACCCAGAAAGTTATTCTGTTTTATGCACATTTTAAGATATTATATGTCTCTTGGGGAGGCGTCACGTTGGCACAATGGGTAGCACAATCGCCTGACAGCAAAAAGACTGCTGGCCCCGGCTGGTTCAAGTTGGCATTTCTGTGTGGAGTTTGCATGTTTTCCCCATGTTTGGGTGGGTTTCCTCCAGGTGCTCCTGTTTCCCCCACAGTCCAAAGACATGCGCTATAGGTGAATTGAATAAGTTAAATTGGCCGTAGTGTATAAGTGTGAATGCACAAGTGTTTAGGTGTTTCTCAGTGTTGGGTTGAGGCTGAAAGGGCATCATCTGCGTAGAACATGTGCTGGATAAGTTGGCGGGTTATTCTGCCGTGGTGACCCCTAATAAATAAAACTAAGACTAAGAATAAGACTAATGCCTAGTTCAGACTGCGTGATTTTAGCCCCGATTTTGGCTCACCGACAGGTTTTGAGAAATCGCCGACAAATGCCTGAAATCACTGGCAAATCGCTGCTCGTGCACGTGAGTGATAATCACACAGTATGAACGATCAAAGACGCGATCTGAAAGAATCGCCAATGAGTCGCCGATGCCTGTGAGATATTTGGCATGCTAAATATCTGGAGCTGTCGGCGATTCAAATCATGCCGTGTGAATTGAATTTTGACTGAAAATAACATCAGCGATCGCCCCACAGCCAATGAGAGAGCAGCTTTCACTTGTGTGTGTGTGTGTGTGTGTGTACATGAAGCAGGCCAGCGGGAGGCTGGGGGAGAAGTTAAAAGCGCTCCTTTTCGGTTTATTTGGACCCACGAAATGGAGGAGAAACTAGTTGAGGTTTGACAGGACTCAGGAGCAATCGTGTCTGTTTGACGTTTCATACAGAAAGAAATTAGTTTATTATCAACGTTGAAAAGAAATGGCTAATTGCCTTTAAACCCAGGTGAGCAAACATGTACATGTTCTACCCCATTAAAGGCTTCTTTCTCATTATGTAGTTAATAACAAAAGATATACTACGTGTTTTTGGCTGAGAGACGTAGTTTGGACGAAGTTGTCAGCGATTCTTCCTATAGTAAAGTCATGCAATGTGAATGTCCCCGTCGCCGATCCATCTTGCAGTGTAAACAAAGCAGCGACGAAACGCTGGCCCAGATAGTCATGCAGTGTGAAAACATCTGTGACAGGACTTGTTTGAAAATCATGCAGTCTGAACTCAGCATAAGACGAAAAGAACAAGATGATGATATGCCTCTTGGCATTTTCAATATCTCTGCACTTGCATAAAAATAAGTGTACAGAGTTATTGGCAGACCCACAGGGAACCCACAAATTTCCAATCTATTTCTTTACTTATGTAAATGTGTGTAAATCTGTATTTATTTAGACCTTATAGTATGTTCAGTAACATAATTGAATCATATGCTAATGTTAAGATCATGTATAATAACTACTTTTGTAAAGTAATTATTTCAGTCTATTAGAAGATCTATTATATGAGAGTGACTTTGTTTGCCATGCAAGCCGTTCTGATTGGATAAAGATTGTAAAGCTAAAATAAGATTAGTAGAGGTGTCAAAATAAACTGTTTCTTCGGTGCACCGCGATGCAGACGTGGACAATTTAGTATCGGTTCAGTAATAATGATAACCGGTTATTGTGTACTAACGTCATTTATCTCATATGCGCTACTTAAAATTCAGAAACTGTGCACAATCTCACTCTGTGTGTGTTTGCTGTATCAGTCTTTCACTGACACTTACAGCTGAAGCCCCTATTTTACTGCGATTGAGAGAATAAAAGTACTCTATTTCTCTCTCTCTCTCTCTTTCTCTCACTCACTGTGGCCCATTTGACCTGCTGGGCTGACTTTTCCTCTCCTCTCGGCTGTTTTACAGCAATACTTCAGGATACAGACACAAGCCTGCAAAGTTTTCTCCACCGTGTCTATCATGGATCAGCTGTGATCGCTTATCAGTGTTACTTATCTGTGATGAGCACAGCGCGCAAGAGCCAACCGCAGCCTTTTTTTGAGGGTGTGACCAATTAAAGGGGTGTAAGAGAACTAGACAAGGATTAGAAAGCGACTGGGATATTTATATATGTTTATATTAATTGCTATAAATGCTTGTGTTGTTTAAAGGTACAGTTTATATATCTGACTGCTTATATTAAATGATAAAATTGCATTACAAGTAGTATATAAATATAAATATATTCATACATTTTAATACAAAAAATGCTGCTGTGAAGAAAATATAAAACTGTGCATGGAAAGTATCATCAATGCACCATGATGATATCGAATTGAACCGAATCGATGGCATGATAATCGTAACCGAACTAAACTGTGAGACCAGTGTAGGTTCACAGCTCTAAAAATTAGGTTATTTGTTATTTTATGTGTTGGGTCAGCTACTATGCTCTAAAAATCATTCCACATAAATATGCTGATTTATTTTTGACAAAATTCCTTGTAGAAATAGTAAAAAAGGTCTGCATATTCTGTATGGTCCTGATTAATGACACTAAAAGTACTTGGTTCAGAATGACTTGTTTTCGTTTTCGTTTTAGTTTTAAGTTTTAGAGCTGAAACAAAGGGGAAACATATAATTGAACAATGTCTTAACTTTCAGCCGGTTATATCATATATCATATCACACAATTCAGCTCACATATCAGATAAATCACTTGCACAATGTCTTTTGAAGCAAAATTGTCTTATCTTTGTTTTGAGTTTTACAGATGCAAGTAGACAAGCGATGTAAGAATCGCTGATGACAATATTGTACATTTTGGGTGGACAACAAGGCTTACCCTTTGAAGGAGTCTGAAAGAAAAGCCAAACTGCCGTAGATCTTCTCGCAGCCGGTGAACATGCCGATGTTGGTTGAATTCACCACTGAAACTCCCTGCAGGTTTCCCATTCCCAGACCATAACACACTAGCACACAGAACATGCATGAGTTAATGCTACTATAAAAATGGACAAACTGTTAATAATTTTTTTAATTAATTATGTTTTAAATGTTATATCTGCTGGGGCGTTCACACCAGAAATCACAATATTTTCACATAGTTTACTCGCTAATTTGCATGTGAATTTCACTTCATGACTAAGGATGTAACGGTACATTAGAGTCACAGTTTGGTACATACCCCAGTTTGAGGGTCAAGGTTCGGTACGGTAGAGTACAACAGGAATAATAACAAATCTCCAGTGCTTGCTTATTTTGTTAATTTTGAACAGGCAGACGTGTTTTGTCACGATCAGATACAGAACTAAAGAGCTTCTTGTGAAACACAGGTACAAAATAAACAGAGCAATGAAAAATAAAGCTTTATAATTTAGAAAATGTGTATTAAACTATCAAATATTAAACTCAGTCCTCCCCTAAAACAATGGAAATGCAATAATTGTCTATTAAATTTAAGATTCGGTACGGTTTAAAAATTAAAAATCTCTGAAAATGCAGCACTGTGTCCATCTATAACAGCAGGTGCAGCGGACAACAACTGTTATGTGTGTGTGGAGAAGACACTCACTCACTCACTCACTCACTCACTAACAATAGACCAAACAATATCTTATATTATAGGCGACGCAGTGGCTCAGTAGGTAGTGCTGTCGCCTCACAGCAAGAAGGTCGCTGGTTCGAGCCTCGGCTGGGTCAGTTGGCGTTTCTGTGTGGAGTTCTCTCTGCGTTCGCGTGGGTTTCCTCCAGCTGCTCCGGTTTCCCCCACAAATCCAAAGACATGCGGTACAGGTGAATTGGGTAGACTAAATTGTCCTTAGTGTATGTGTGTGTTTGAATGTTTCCCATAGGTGGGTTGCAGCTGGAAGAGCATTCGCTGCGTGAAAACATATGCTGGATAAGTTGGCGGTTCATTCCGCTGTGGCAACCACAGATTAATAAAGGGACTAAGCCGACAAGAAAATCAATGAATGAGTGAATGAATGAATGTTTCTTAAATATATGAAGCTAGATTAGTCTCAATAACAACCATTGTATGCGTCATCAAATTCACATGCGTGAAACCAAACTCTCATTTACATAAGCAATTTACAAAAACAATTTACGTTCACGAAAGAAAAATACATATTCACAAAATACATTTCACAATAATAAACATTTTTTACATGTTATACATTTCTAAATGATGTTTTGCATTTTTATGAATATGTATTTTTATTTTGTGACTGTGAATTATAATTGAAACTGATCTAGCTCCATTAAAATCTACAGCATGTAAGAATAAATTCATATGATCATGGATAATATATATTTAAAAATAAATTATTGTTTAATAACAATAAAATTGAAAAAGGATATTTTATATTGCTTTATTCATTCATTTATTCATTCATTTTTCTTTGGCTTATTCCCTTATTCATCAGGGGTTGCCACAGCGGAATGAACCGCCAACAATTCCAGCATATGTTTTTATGCAGCGGATGCCCTTCCAGCTCCAACCCAGTACTGGGAAACACCAATACCCACTCGCATTCACACACTAAAGCTAGTTTTGTTTAACTTATGGCGCATGTCTTTGGACTTGTGGGGGAAACCAGAGCACCTGGAAGAAACCCATTCAAACACGGGGAGAACATGCAAACTCCACACAGAAATTATAACTGCCACAGTTGGGACTTGAACCAGCGACCTTTTTGCTCTGAGGTGACAGTGCTGACAACTGAGCCACCGTGCTGACCCAATATTTTCTATGTTAAAATTATTTTATTAAATACAGACCTTTTGGACACTCTCCTTCACACTTTTCACATTTCTGTGTTTCTTGGCCGTCTGGCTCCACAGATATGACTTCCTTGTTGGCTTTGGGACAGACCATTGTGCATGCCACTTCCATTGCCAGGTAGTTATCTAAAGAAATATGAAGTATTGATTATTTAATATGTGCACAGAGAAAGTAAAAGCAAGGCTTCAGGCATGATATCTGATATCATGATAACAGTCTCTAAACATACGGGGACACTGTTTAACACAGGTGGCTCCGAAGCTGAACTTTTTGTCTTTGTTGGGTTTGGACTGGAAGGTGATTGGGTCGTAGATAGTGGGCGGTGGACAGCTGTCTTTACATGTCCCGCTGTCATTGAAGTGTCGACAGGCCTATAGATGTGGGAAAAAAATGCAGAGGTTTTTTGCGTGTCTGTTGAATATGCATGATAGAAATTCAAGATTGATGTTTTTACCAGACAATCCGAGTCTTTGGGCCCAGTACAACCAGCAGCACACTGGACATGGCAGCAGTCACTGGGTTTCGGGCCCTTACAGCGCGAACAGCCAGATGAGCAGTTCACAGACGTCACTGTAGAGGGTTGGACAAGATTCACAACTTAAAAACTGTGTCAAAAGTGTCATTTTTGTTGTCTAGGTGTAAATTCTAAAGTGCATAGCGCAAAAGCATTAAGGGTGTGTCCGAATCTACTTTTGCTATTTTTAGGATGGAAAAATAAGCTTTGCAGCCCAGCGCATGGTCTAACAGGGTTGTGCTTATTCTCTTAATGGGTTATGGGTGTGTTTTGAGCATAATGTGCATTAAACCAATCTCATCACTCATTCCCTTTTGCGTCATGCCATGGCACATTTGCTATTTACATGGCGGACTTTGCAAGTGGAAAACCTGAATGCTTCACTAGCGAGAAAACAGACCATCTGCAGCGCAAGCATAAAGAACGAGCCTCCTCCACTCAGCTTCTTTATTTTCTCTTTACTTTTATTCTTTAATGTACTCCTTTACTTTGATGGATAAGGAAACCACTGAAGACATCCATTAGCCTACATATTTAATTTTGTTTGTTAAGTGCAAAGATTTCTAAATTCAGTTCTAATTTCCATAAAACTAATAAATTAACAATAATCATAACCAAATAAGTTATGTCCAAACACACTTGCTATTCTTATGCCCCATATGGTGATGCATACGGTTATTAAAACTAATATAATATGCATATAATAAATAATACTACAAATAATAACATGATACAAATGCAAATTGTGATGAATAAACTGAAAATGCCCCCCCGAAATAAGCTTTTTGCTGGTCAACAGGCTGGTCTATTTCAGTTACTCAATAGCAAAGCGCCAACAATGCACCTTAACACAACCCCTTTATAGATCGACATACCCATGAGTCCACAGAGTGGCACAAATGGATTTGCTATTTAAACAATGTGGCACAAAACATGAAAATTAGGGTTGCGTTGGTATGAAAATAGCAATAAATCATGCCAAACACATCTCGTCCCTTATTGCGCCGGGTGTATAATAACGCCCTTAGTATCTAAGCAAAAAGGAAAGACTATGAGTACAACAGGTCAACATTTTAGTCATGTGGACTCTTGTGTTGGATTAACAATATCTATTTATCATTTTTAACATTACTGATAAGGGTTCTTTCTTAAAAGTCAGTCCTTTAATCTATACTTTTCTGTTGCTATGCGTGAACTTCACTAAATATCACTTGATTCATTACTGCTTTCAATTCTAAAATTATTTTAATACTAAAACCAAATCTCTAGGTTAACAATTGAATTTATTTGGACCTTTTTTAAAATTATGTAATCAAAATCGACATTCAGAACCAATTATCCATTAAATTTTTTTAGGTCAGTTTTTTCAATTACTTTCCCTACTGCATATGGAGTCATGTGACCTAGCTCTGTTTACATTTCTGCGTCGAGCACAGCATATGGTCTGGCGCAGGCTTCACACGATTGAATATCCTTCACCGTGACTGACGCTGAAGATGACCTCTCAAAAACTGTAACTGCATGTCACAACAACACAGCACAAGCTCTATGATTGGTCAGCTTGGAAGCGTTGACAAGTGTGGGCGGCGCAAAGAGGGCAAAAGAATAAAATAGATTAATAAAAGAATCATTCATTAATCGTAATCGAGTTAAAATGTTTAATTAATCAAGAGTATAATTTTAGGCCAAACCGCCCAGCCATAAAATTATGTTAATATTATGAATTTTATTGTGTAATTTTTTGCCTTGATGTATTTATTTATTTTTACTACACATTTGATACAGCATTAAATAACATATAATTTAATATTCAATCAAAAAAATTCATGTGATATATATTATGTAATAGGAAAATAATACCACTAAATAATACAGTGTATAAATTATAACTTTGTGGAAGAAGGTCTGTTAAATTTAATTATTCATTGATTTTAAATGATATAAACCTAATGAGATGCAGAGAAATTCTAAAAGAAAAATCTTTAAAAGAAAGTCTTGATTTAATTAAACTCTATTATAAAAAGGCCAATATACTGTATCAATCACACTCACATGTTTGGCAGTCCTGATCTTTTTCTCCCCAACATCCACCAGATTTACAAGCTGAAGAGCAACGAGGACCTGAAAAAAGATCAATGTTATTGAGCAGTAATTTTACATAGTAAGATGTCAATTGTACAGTGAGATGCATGCCAGCATATTCTTCTATATAACTTACAGTTTTTTGGAATGTCTTGCAGGTGCAGTGGTTTGTTTTGAACTTTACTAACTGTGTCTTCCCAGTTAATGTTCCGAGGAAAGCAAAGCTGGGGATTTCCCCAAATATAAACCCCACCAAGCAGGATTTCTGTCAAACACAGACAACAGCATTTCTCACAGTGTTCCAAACTCATTTTATAGGAAACACTCACACACAAGAGAAATATTTGGGCAATTACATATTGTGTACACAAAAATCAAAATCCACAAAACCAGGCATAAGGGTCAGTTTTTGGAAACTGAGATTTATGCATCATATATCTGAAAGCCATATAAATACACTTTCAAGAGTTCACACTTAGATATTGCTTGACAACTGTAAGCAGGTTTGGCATGCTGTCCCGGGAGAGAACCCTGAGCTCGGCGATAGTTGAGCCCAGGGCTCCCGCCAGGTCCATAGAGCATGTAAGGGGAGTACGAGATCAGGTGGTTCTCGAGAGCTCCCCTTTTTAAAAGGAGGAGAAAGGGGGTGGATGGGGGGTTTCTTCGGAAAACGAAGGTAATGGAGTAATATCTAGCTAGGCTATTTATAGTAAGTTGGGATAGATCTGATTGGCTAACTAATGAGTGTAGATAGGCGGCCAGCTGCGGTCATTTATATCACGTGCTCCTCTCGAAATTAGTTTAAAAACTTCACTTCTATTCATGTGTGGTTTGTTAGGTCGAGGGATGAATGTTTGAATATCAGCAATCTGAATTTGAAAAAAACTTTAAATATGGAGAAAAACACCTTTAAAGTTGTCTAAATTAAGTTCTTCGCAAAGCATATTACTAAACCAGATTTTAACCTGTGCATGTGTATTAGGGTTGTAGCGATATCATTAATTCATATTACGATACTATACCAGCTGAAGTATCGTGATACCAAGTAGTATTGCGTTACTTTAATTCATAACTCAAATGAAATAAGGAAAATTGTCAGAAATACTATATTTTAGATGTTGTAATGAGCCTACTTGAACTGAATTCATAATTCCCTTACTGTTGAAAAACAGTATTTGCACACCAATTCACCTAAAATGCATTAGTTGTTTATTTTGTAGATAACTGACCAACGAAAAAAATACATTAAAATAAAGATACAAATTATACTGAATGAAATTCGTTACAAAAAGAGTAAAGTAGGCTATATGAAGTGGTCAAAAATTGTTTCAATGTTTCCTGTTGCTCTTTTGTTTTTGTTTTTCAGACTTATGAGGTAGGAATCAAAAGTAATTCAGAATTTCATTCTTAGCTGTTGCAGCTACTAAATCATATTAACAAGAACAGAAATAAACTGATTCAGATGCACGTTCAAACTGAAGCGTCAGAAAACGTGCAATAGGCTACCTCAAAAGATGCTCTGAAATTCCTGCTCCCTGTCAAGGACACCTGTTGAACTCTACAGGCTCACACACATACACAGTTACGAATAGACAATCACTGTCTATCCCCTAATCCAACGCCTTTGTTTGCTTTCGCCCACTGGAGGGGGTAGGCGGGTCTCTGATCAGCGCCTCCATTGCTGCAGGACCAGATGGCTGCCCTCCCTCATCGGACTATATCCACACCCCCCTGTTTCCATCCCCTGTAGCAATGTTGTGTCTTGTCTTGGGCTTTTTTCTTCCTGGTCTCACATTGCTCTAATTCAAGAGCAAGGTGAGAGGAAGTTTTTTTTTGCCTCTCTCTCCTGAAATGTCTTATATTTCCAGCTCTAAATGCTACCTCCTGTGACTGGTCTTCCCTTGGAAATTGTGATGTTTGTGCACGGTAGGGGGAGGGGTTCAATTTCACTATAGGAAAGTGTATGTGACAAATAAAGGCCTGATTTGATTTGAATTCCACACAGTTTTGCAACCGTAAAGTGCTCCGCAGACCATTCAAATAAAATAGTCTATTGTTGCACAAGCGTGTGAGCATTTTAGTGGCTTTTCCACATGCAACATTATGTATTGTAGATAGACTGTTAATGACGATACTACCATTTACAAACTAAAGTGGCAACACCAGTATTTTGGAGCCACAGTATCAAGATACCACCATAGTACCGGTAAATCGAGCAACCCTAATGTGTACAGTATGAAATTTCCTTGATATCTTCATGGAACATGATCTTTGCTTAATATTTCAATGATTTTTGGGACCAAATAAAAATTTATACATTTGACTCATATAACGTATTTTTGGCGAATCCCGCAAATATACTCATGCAACATAAGACAAGACTAAACTTGTAAGTTTTATTACTTTGGCCAGAGTTAAACTACTATGTGGCAAAAAAAATGGCTAATATATGTGAATTAACTAAAATAGGCATATTATTTTGGTTTAAACTCAAGGTTATTTTTTAAGAGGGGAGCGGTTCATAAAGGTGCAGTAACATTTATAATTGCCTTATAATTGTTACAAAAAAATTTGATAAATGACTGTCCATGACTTTTCCGTGACCTTTTCAGACATTAATCATTACTGGACAAGGCATGTTTGAAAAATCATTCTGCAACTGGACTGATCATTATATGTGTAAGTGTTCTCTAAAAAAACAAGCTGACCATCCGCTTGTTAAGTGGTGACGTGTTTGTGACGTATGTAATACTGTTTCCGGGTCCAAGCCACCACTCATTTGAGTGGAGAAATCATTCGTTTATGATCACGTTTTATTCCTATCACACATTAAAGTTAATTTTAAATAAAATCAATGTGTACACAACAATCTCTGGGCTTGCTGCATAAAAATTACCAAAAATTTAACAATTTATAAAAAAATTAATCACTTTCTGGCCATCGGATATTAGGCATGGACATATATATTGCGATTGTGATTTTCGAAAGCCTTAAATCGCTTTGTAAATGTTTATTATTTCCATTTCATGAGTCTCCCCATTCAGTTGAATAGTGCACTTGGACCCGGTAGCCGCTTTGCGTGACGTCACACTTAACAAGCGGATAAACTACAAGCGATCAGAAGACTATCTGAGTATTAAGAAATGAAATTATTTTATACACTATATGACAAAAAAATCTTGTTGCCTATCCAAGTTTTAGAAACATCAACTAATAACTTCTAGTTTGATAATAGAAGTGGCTTATATGAATAACAAAGGCCTCTAGATTATGCTTATTTGATGCTTATTTTAACCTTGATTTTTTATTATTTAGTTAGGACAGTAAGGTCTGACTTTATTTGGACAAAAGTCTTGTCACTTAACAGAAATAATGTAAAGTATGGAATATAAAGTCATGGTGCTTTGGAAAAAGAATTAATATTGTGTATGACTCCCATGAGCTTGGAGAACTGCATCCATACATCTCTACAATGACTCAATGACTAATAAATAAAGCTATCTAGAATGGCAAAGAAATTGTTCTTGCAGGACTCCCAGAGTTCATCAAGATTCTTTGGATTCATCTTCAGTGCCTCCTCCATCCTACCCCAGACATGCTCAATAATGTTCTTGTCTGGTGACTTGGTTGGCCAATCATTGAGCACCTTGATCTTCTTTTCTTTCAGGAACTTTGATGTGAAGGCTGAAGTATGAGAGAGCGCTATCCTGCTGAAGAATTTGCCCTCTCCTGTGGTTTGTAATGTAATGGGCGGCACAAATGTCTTGATACTTCAGACTGTTGATGTTTCCATCCACTCTGTAGATCACTCAGACGCCCCCATACTGAATGTAACCCCAAACCAGGATTTTTCCTTCAACAAACTTGACTGATTTCTGTGAGAATTTTAGGTCCATGCATGTTCCAATAGGTCTTCTGCAGTATTTGTGATAATTGGGATGCAGTTCAACAGATGATTACTCAGAAAAATCTACCTTCTGCCACTTTTCCAAATGATCAACTAGAAGTCAAGTTATTATTTGTTGCTCTTACAACTGGGAACAACAACAAGACTTTGGTCAGGTGGTGTATTGTAACATTTGCCACCCAATGAATCCCACAGGCGATTAAAGTATATAAGTATATACAGGCTGATGTTATCTGATGTTGTCACTTGACACAAACCTGTTTGACTTTCTTGCTTCTGTTGAACACAAAAGAAGTTACTTTGAAAAACGTTGGAAACCGTTAACCATTGCTGTCCCTAGTATTTGTTTTCTTACTATGGAAGTCAATGGTTACCGGTTTCCAGCATTATCCTAACTAGCATACTTTGTGCTCAACAGAAAAAGGAAACTCATAAAGGTTTGGATCCACTTGATGGTAAGTAAACATTTGACATTTTTGGGTGAACTCTTCCGTTAAATTAACACAATTTACACATTTTTTAAATTCGTATATGTACTCTTACCTGTTAGACTCCTGAGGCGAAGTTCTCTCAGGCCGAGTCCAGCCTGACTGCTGTTGCTGTTGTTGTGTACAGCGAGAGCATAGTTGGATTTATAAAGCTGACTGCCTCGTATAATCCGCAGATTGTCCAGTGGAAGAGAGCGCACGGAGACGTGAGCTATCAGCACATACCCCTGAACCTCCACTATCTCCTACACACAAACACAACACCAGCGCATTTTTTCATATTTAGAATTATAGCAATATTTGGATCTCATTATAAGAGAATAACTAAATTAGCAGTTCAGTAGTTTTTATCAGTTACTCTTGAAGCATCCTAAATCACTGTGAAAGCAAAGCCTTACTTTAAGTAGTACGCTATGATAGGAAGCTAAACATTATTTAAAAATTTTATCCACAGCCATGCCAAATGGTCCTGCACTGTAAAATGGCCCGTTTCCACTAAGTGGTGCGGTACGGTTTTTTTCTTTTATGGCCGTTTCCACTGTCAAAAGGCGTACCGAACCGTAACGTACCACTTTTTCGGCACCCTTTCGAAAGGGTACCAAACACGAGAAAGGGTACCAAAAGGCAACGACACGCAGCTGAACGCTATTGGTTTACAGAGATACGTCATTCGCTAACGCAACAAGCCAGAATGAAAATAATTGAGCAACCATGTTTAAAATACACACAGAGCCGAGAGTTAACAGCGGAGTTAACAACGGCTCAAACAAACCTTGTCGTCGTCTTGATGAACAGCCACAAATCCAAAAAGAGCAGATTTACCCTGTGTCCCTTAGTTTTTTACGAGCCAGTCTGAAGCGCGAGCGGTTTCGCTTTCTTGTTTGTGCTCGCCGTGCGTCTAAATCTGAAATAACAAACTTCTTGAGCTGATGATAATAATGTGCACTTGATTATTGACGTGCTTCTGAAACTCGATCCTGTCAGACACTGAGAAACTCAAGAGTGAAGCGCGAAAAAAAACAAAGGAGAAGCTGGAAAAAAGGAGCACATTATTTCTTCAGCAAACGTGAACAAACTGCCATGTTTAAAGGGTCACGAAACACCAAAACACATTTTTTGAGCTGTTGACAGTCGTATATGTGTCCCACACTGCTAAAAACACTATTGGGACACCTATATTTCACTAAAAAGTGTAAATTGGTTGTTTTTGCGTTATTTCAAGCAAATTCGTACTTCCTGTTTGAAACGAATTTTTGAAGCTGCGTCACGGTCATGACATAATAGCCTGTATTCCAGCGTGCAGACTGGACGTCTGTGCCAGAGTGAGTCTTATTACGTCTTACAGTGTGTTGCATTAATGCATGAGTAAGGCTTGGTTCAAACCAATCAGCGCGCTCTATTGTGCAACTTCATTAATATTCATTACTATCACCGTGTTTACACGACAGAGACGCCACGTTGTGTTGGCAAAACAAGTGTGAAGTGTTGCTTTTATAGTTTGCTGCCATTAAGTTTCGTTTTCGTTTCTCTCTGTGAGAGCTCATCTGCATCACGTGTGGATTAACAGTGTACGCGACGCTCGACAACAATAACTTACGTGTCTAAGGAGGAACATTGTTTACCTGAGAGCTGTTCTCATCTGCAAACGCTGAAATCCGGATTTGCTCAAGTGGTGCTTGTAGTATTCTCTTCATAAAGACGCGGCTCTAGTTGCTGGTAATTGTCCTGTCTCTACAGATTTGGTAAGTGAGCGACCAGTGCTCTTTGTTTATTCAGTTTGTTCGTATCGAATAAAGTTAACTATTGCACTGAGTGCAAACATGTTAGCACCGCATTTTGTGACCGGAATAACACACGCGGCTTTCTGACGCTACCTGCCGAGTGCATCTAAGTTTCCGGGAAATGCTGAGTTTTTTTTTTCTCTCATTCGCCGTGCGGTATCAAACATTGCATGAAAAATACACGCTTAGAGCAGATCCTCGAATCAAATATCTCGTTTGTCGCGAGGGGCATGAATGAATTCCCTGAATAAAAGAGCCAAACTGCAGTTAAAGTCCACTATTTAATAATTTGGCAAATAATTCACTACAGATGTTCATGTAGGTTAAACAACATCCCTTTCTCCTGTGTGTATTTTGACTGAAACTCGCGCGTGCCCAAATAGACACTCCCACACCCTCCCACTTTAGTTCCTCTGACACTCCCCCCTAAACAGAGCTGGACACGCCCACTTTTTGGACTTTTTCCAAAGTAGAGGTGTGAAAACACCCTGCTGAAACGAGGGGTTTCATGGCCCTTTAGCTATTATCATCACCTTTTGGACTGATATGAATTAGAATGATGGAATGACTCTCTAACAGAGGCAACATGAGCTGCTGAAGATTAAAGACAGATGAGAGGTTTGCACTGACTGTGGGCTATATTTTGTGTTGTTTTTGAACCTAAATAAGGACTAAATGTCTGCTGTGTGTAGTTCTTTTGTAATTGGAAATATATCAGAGACTGTAAGGGTCTGTATGTGTTCATATATGTTGCATTTATTGATTTATTTTATATAATTGCAGACGTTACAGTAGGCTATTTCGCACTGTCATTGATCTGCAGTTATAATCAACTCATGTTCATAGAAAAGTTAGTATTAAACATTTATACACAAGTATTTATGCGTTTAAAGCATCTGTTTTGTGAGAAGTGCTTCTCATATGATATGTGAACGACCTGTATAGCTTTACTGTAGTCATTTTCTCGGAATGACAGACAGTTTTAGTCGACGACATTTTCGCTCGAGAAAATGTCTACAGTAAAGCTGCGCAGGTCGTTCACATATCATATAAGAAGCACTAAAACAGATGCTTTATACACATAAATACTTGTGTATAAATGTTTATTTCTATGAACATGAGTTGTTTATATCTGCAGATCAATGACAGTGCGAAATAGCCTACTGTAATTATACAGTAATATACCCTCTGTAATTATATAAAATAAATCAATAAATGCAACATATATGAACACATACAGACCCTTAGAGTCTTCAATATGTTACCAACTACAGAAGAACTACACACAGCATATGTAAAGCGAGACCGCTCACGCTTCAGACTGGCTCATAAAAAACTAAGGGACACAGGGTAAATCTGCTTTTCTTTTTGGCTTTGTGGCTGTTCATCAAGACAACGACAAGGTTTGTTTGAGCCGGGGTCGACCATGGCTCGTTATTATATGTATATATAGTTACACTGTAAAAGATCTCGGCTGTGTATTTGAAACATGGCGGCTCGTATTTTTTTCATTGGCTTGTTGCGTAAGCGAATGTCACATCTCTGTAAACCAATAGCTTTCAGCTACACGTCTTGCTCCACCTTTTGGTACCCTTTCTCGTGTTTGGTACCCTTTCAAAAGAGTGGAAACAGGCCTGCTAATACTCCATTCAAAGTCAATTTACATGCAGTTACAAAGTTTCCTACTGTAAGGGACAAAAAGCATAACTGAAATGTCTTTTCAGCTGCAGAGCAAAAGTCCACCCAATACAGAGACAGACACACACACACATGAAAGCCCCGTACCTGCAGGAAAGAGAGGTCTGGATTGCCCTGCAGGTGTGTGATCTCCAGGTTACCATGAACCACCTGACAGCCTGTGTAGAGCAGCCTGAGCATTTCATAATGATTTTCCAGACTGGAGGGTAAAGCCAGTTTCATATCGGTCCCGAGACATACTGAAACAAAACAGATGCACAAATGGTTTAAACTCTATGAATTAATTCAGTTTGTGTCTATTAAAGACACATAAATGTAAATAAGGTAAACAATAGGGGTGCATCATTACAGTACAATTTCCAAGTACCAATTTGAACACATTATTAATGAGCCAAATTGCTGATTCATTCTTTTAATAGTTTGATTATTTGATTAGTGAGTTGCAGTCCTGTTTCCCAGATGGACAGGTGAAGTAAACACACAGTAAACAGGTCCTTATTATACATCCTGCTTCATGTTAACTAAATTTTTTAATGACTGCTAATTATATATACAAGCAATATTACACGAGAAGCAGTGCGATATGGCCGCATGGTTTCGGCTACATTCATTCTTCCATGGCGGGGCGCCACAGCAAAACTGATCCCGCCACGGCTACATTATAACTTCTCATTCACACATTCAGTCGTGTTTTTTTAATAGCGGGTGATAATCGCACCGAAACATATTAAAAGGTAAGTGAATTATAACAGCGCAAACATTTCTTTAACCCTTGTAGTGCTGTGCGTCATTTGTTTAACCCTTTAAGATTTCATGCTGACTGACTGACTAACTGATTGACTGACTGACAGGTTCGTGATGCGTGAGGCCAGCAAACATGACGTATGATGAATGAATGAATAAATTATTCAAATGCACTACCTAGTACCTCTAAAAACCAAGCTGATATCACAAGACACATTTATGGTATTAGTACAAATAGAGCTGCAAAATTAATCGTAAAAAGATCGTGATCTCGATTCGACCCCCTAGACGATGGGTGTAAGTGTAGCATTTCTACAATTTTGTCAATCATATTTTCAAGTTCAGGAGAGAAGCAATGGTGGCCACACAAGTCTTCATATTGTTTTACATACGTTGTTCAGCAACGTGGACATCTGCAAATGGTGTTGAAAGAGTCACATGCTGTATTTATAAGAAATAATTCACCCCAAAAATGTCATTTCTGTCTTCATGTAATGTATTTGCACCAGCAAAATCACATGTGACGTTAGCTGACCGTCAGCTGTTACCAAAGAAAGGGCGGGCGAGCGCGCCTCTGAATGAAGTCTACTTTAGTGAACAGAAACTGCATAGGCTGTGAATAACAGGTGATAAAGTTGTTATAACATTTAGTTTGTGGAACAGAGTGATCGTTTGTGAGCCGCGTGGGATGTGATCTTTGCAGTGAAAATGAAACCGAAAGTGCACACAGTATTGTCAGATGTAGCTGACCGATTCCAGCTGAAAAAGTTTCCAAAACCCACCGAAATGCAAAATTTCTGTCTTCTGTATTCACAAAAAATCACGTCAGTGACAGATTTAAAGCAGAAAATGACAGATTGTAAGCATACGTCTCAAACACAATAGTTCAACATCAGAATTATCATCAGCATTAATGACCAGGACAAATCTAAAGTTTATTCAAGTCCACCATTCCAAGTCTATACAACATTTAGCATTTTAACCAACAGTACAGCTACACAAAGCCTATTGCTGTTTTACCGCATGTTTGAGAATAACAATAATAGCCCACTCGTATTAACATTTATTTTACATCTACAGAATCGTGAGAAAATCATGATCTTTATTTTATTCTCATTTTAGCCAGAATCGTGCAGCTGTAAGTACAAATTTGTAGAATATTACTTCGAATAAAATGTAGTCTCATTTACACTAAAAAGTAAACAAGACGCTGAACCTTATCCTCCATAACATTACAGATGTATTTGAAAGAAATGTGTCATGAGATTATGTAGAAGTCAAACGAAATGTAATCACTGATGCATTTACACGTAAACCTCCACTGTGTTACGATAACCAGCGATCGCTCTCCAAAGATATATGTATAACTAGATGTATAACCATGGACTACACTTCCGCCTTCCTCTGGACTACATATGCAGATATGCACTTCTCCCAGACACTCACACCTGCTCACTCATCTAGAATGATTACACTCGCATCACCTGAGGACTTTCAGAGACTGATTAGACACCCTTCATAAGCCACTCATTCACCCATCCAGTTTGCTGAGTCTTGTATGCTTCCAGTGACATTACAACGTATATCTCCTTGTCTTGTTTTCTCCGTGTTTAGACCCTAGCCTTGTTTACCCTTGTTATCCTGTTTAGCCGCCAGCCTTACGACCCATTGCCTGTACATTGATTATGATTCTGGATTTGCCTACACCTGTTTACACCTGATTAGACCATTGCTTGCTTGATCATTGAACAAACCTGCATATTGGATCTTACCTCCAGTTGTGTGTGTCACCCCTGGCGTTACACAATTTTATGAGAACTGTGCATCATTTATAAATCTAAAAGCTAAACTGATCTGAATCTGCGCAAAATGTCTTTTATTCTATAGTTTTTGATGTGAAAACTATGGTGACTGAAGTACTAAAATATAGATAAATCGTTTTTTTCTGTTTCTTTAAGATGTTAATTAAGAATAGCTGTGTTTAACTGAAGTGTCTTAAGTATGCATACTGATGGGATTTGAGACTGAATAAGTCACTGTTTTTCTCCAGTTCGCACTTCCCTACCAAGATCCTCCTCCTTTATCATCCTAACATTCTCTCGTCTGTGTGCATGCATGTGTGTGCGGATGGGCGGGCCGCGGGGTTGTGGCCTTGAATAGAAAATAACTCTATTGGTCCATGTTTCTGCGGCCCCTTTCTCTCTCTCATTGTACGTCTGTTTCTGCACAACCATTTTTACTCCTACTCAAATCAGATACTGACAGGCTGAAGTGAAGTTGTTATATAGCGCAACGTATCTTCGTCGATATCCAAACCAACAGGTTTCCACACACACACAAACACAGAAAGAGATGTTTGCTCTCAATACCTCTGGCTTCTGTGCGCATATTGTGAACTGAGCCTCTCTAAAGGATTAAAAAACACCAGACAACTCATTTGTAAATGTTGTGTATGGACAAAATGGGGGTGGAAATGTGCGTATACCAATTCAAGACCATCAGATGTTAGAATTTATCCATGCTCGGGCCATGATAGTGTGCCATCACATCATGGCTGTCATGCTGAAGCCTCAAAATCAAAGCCTTGTCCAATCTTAACTAGACATGAGGCGATAACCAGTTTCAAGGTTAACCTTGGTTGGTTTGGAAAAATCAAAGTTTTAATGCTGGAAAAAGATTCTGTTATACTGTTACTGTGATAAATGCAAGTTTTTTTGCTTTACGTTTTGTTTTACGACTGTTTTATTTAGGTTTTTAGGGCAACAGCATTTCCAGCAGAAAAGGAATCTCGGCATCCAAAGCTGGTCAGACCACGATTCAGATTCATTTCATGCTTATAAATTATCACAAAAGTCCTCGTGCTACAGGTTTTAGGAGGTTTTCTGAAGGTGGCAGCTGACAAGCAGTGAGGGTTTGCATGTTTGGGTGCTTTCACATCTGTAGTTCGGTTCATTTGGTCCGGACCAAGGGCAACATATGATACATTGTAGCATTTTCTGCAATCTTTGGGTCGTTTTCACACCACGCTGATTGCTTTGGTCCGAACCGAAGTTGACAAGAACCAAAATGCAGTCATTGACAAAATCCACATCACTCATTGTCTAGATGTTATTGAACGTATTTCATAAACTGCTTTTCGAATGGTCAGAATTCTCATGCGGGAAAATGCCAGTGAACTCCCGCAAGTAAACAAACCGGCAGATATGTCGCTTTTGACTATGGAGCTATAACTGCGCTGACTGATTGTATCCCTGCTCGGGGTGTACTATATAGTTTGTATCACTTTAGACAAACTATACATTTGGAGAATGAAGCGCGGCTGTTGCTGAAAAACAGTGGTTTAATACATCGCACGTCACTTTAGGAGGCGTGAATAAATTTATCTAAATTGCGACATGGTCATCTTGCGAAAATATTACTAACGATGTATCAGGTAATGTTTTTCCCTCTCTCTCTCTCTCTCTCTCTCTCTCTCTCTCTCTCTTTCTCTCTCTATTGGTAAAGCAATGTCAACCAATTTTTTTGCCTTTCACATTCCATAAGGCACAGCTCATCTGCCTACGGCAGTTGAATTAGTCCAAAAAGGCGCAGTACTTTTTGCGGTTGGGTCTGTGTCACCTCTGCCAACTGAGCCAGGACCGACCAACTGAACTGTACCTGGGCCCGATTCAGACCACTCACACTTGTCAAACAAGTCGGGAATTGTGCCCAGGCATGGTTCGAATAGTCTAGAGTGAGTAAGCCCTTATACAAGCCCATAGGGCTGCACAATACTGAACAAATCTGATATTGCGATATTTTATTTTTCTGAAATCAATATTGTGATACGAACAGTTTCACAAAATGGTTTAAATAGCAATTTTTGACGGTTTCCTGGGGAGTCTAACAGTAAACGGAAATTAAATAATCACCATGCAAAACATGATTTCTTGCTTTGCTTTGTCTCGTTTCAAGTCCAAATATCCAAAAAATCTTAGATCGAGTGAAAATTTAATTTAGTCTTTTAACTTCAGAAGAAATAAGTCAACATTAAGGGCTCTATTTGAACGATCTAGGCACAAAGTCTAAAGCGCATGGTGTAAAAGCATTAAAAATGTGTCCGAATCTACTTTTGCTATTTTAAGGACGAAAAATACGCTCTGTGCCCAGGCGCATGGTCTAATAGGGTTGTGCTCATTCTCTTAATGAGTTATGGGTGTGTTTTGAGCATAATGGCATTAAACCAATCAGAGTCTCATGTCTCATTCCCTTTAAGAGTCAGTTACGTAACGCCATGGTGCATTTGCTTTTTTTATGGCGAACTTTGTAAGTGGAAAAACTGAACGCCTCACCAGCGAGAAAACAGTTAGACAGACCATCTGCAGCACAAGGATAAAGAACGAGCCTACTCCATTCAGCCTCTCAATTTTCTCTTTATTTGTAGTTTTTACTTTACTCCTTTACTTTTGTGGAGTAAGGAAACTGAAGACAAGATTAGCCTATATATTTAATTTCA